ATGAAGAATACACGGAGTTCGTTTGGCCACAGTGTAAACGATGTTTCGGATTGTAATTATTACTGTTACTTTATCACATTGCGGTCGAAGAAATGTTAAGAAAATATTATTACGTTCATTCCCTCATCTTCGCCAAAATTATTCTAATGAATAAGATTCATTGCTTTATTTTATTTTTTTCTAAAAATGATTAAGTTGATACTACTTTTTATTATTTTATTTTGTTTACTCATTTATAATAATTTAAATAGTCTCAGTTACTTTATTTCGTAAAAGTTTTGCAAGTTATATGCTAACTAAATAATGTTGATTAATAATAATTTAATTACATTAATTAATTTAAAAAAAAATTAAAAAATAATCATTTAATTACTATTAAAAGGTTGCTTATGTGACCACATAGAACCGACTAAAAATTTTGTTAACCAACATGTGTTCCTATAAAACTTATTAGTAATAGATATAATTAACATAATATTAATTAAGCGTAAATACGTACTTAATTAATACTTCAAATTATTAAATACTAAACTGATTAGTTATATACAGATAATAATAAAAAATATCGTTTTTTCGTCCATAAATCATTAATAATTTATTAAAATTATACAAATATGTCACTACCGTGGAGTTGTGTCACTTCCATGGAAAAGTGTTTTCATGTTTCATGTTTTTTGTGAAAACTACAGAGAAAATAGCTAGGCTTTTATGTGCTCCATTTAGCAAGATAAGATACCTTTCATTTGAGACTACTTTGAAACATATCAAAATAAAAAAAAAGATTGTTTAGAACTTTAAGTCCGTTTTTGAGAATGGCCCTTATGTGACCCATTGTCACTAGTCTGCCGCATCGACAAGAACCGTTCTTGTCGATGCCGCTTCTTCAGTTCCAACTTCACCTACTTTTTCGACTATCGTTTCGCTAAAGCTATCATTATTTGATGTAAATTTAAATGATTTTAACACAGAATTAACCTTTTTTGCTTACACAGTCATCCTGAAACATGACTCAATTTAACATAAATTAGTGAAATTTTGCAAATAATTAAAAATTCATTTTTTGCCTCACTATTTTGCGAGTTTAGCGCGCGGTTCATAGTTCGCACTAAATGAACAACCAATTTCTACACGACTCTAATCACATCGGTAGGAGGCCAGTGAATTCCTTGGTCAGATAACACTTATCTCTGTTCATTATGATACACCAAGGTTCACATATATTATCTTTATCAGTCATAATGTTTCTTATCTGATAATAAAAAACAAAATTATTTTTATGTATTAAACATTAAATAAGCATTAATTTTTTACAAAATTTGCATTCGCATTACACAGTTGATTACTATGTAATACATGACTCTAAATTAATCTCAAAAAGACAAAAGTAATCGTTCCAACCGGGGATCGAACCCGGGACCTTTGAATGTCAACTCGAAATTTCCTTAAAATTTTACTAAGAAAAGACAAAAAATAATCGATCCGACCGGGGATCGAACCCGGGACCTTTAAATATTAACTCGAAATTTCTTTAAACTTTTACTAAATACTTTCTACATAGAATGATTATTCCTTGATGATTAATCTTTAGAAGCTGTTTGTAGGTGGTAAACTAATAAATTGAAATGTTATTTTTGGACGCGTCGCCAACAGTTATTTATAAGAATTATACAACTAAAATTCTAAAATTTTTATTATAATTAGTCTCGTTACTAAATTGCGAGAATTAAGATTATACGAGATATATAAATTAACAGAATATACTTCAAATGCTCCTTTCTATCTAGTGATTTTTGATTACGACGTTGTTATTTTACTAATGAAATAATTCTGTAACAGTGCCATCTACAAGGTATCTCAAGTACTACATCGACCTTTTTATTCTTTTCTTTATATAGGATAGGGTGACAAACGAGCACACAGTCCACGTGATTTTAAGTGGTTGCTATGACCCATAGACATCTACATTTATCCTCAATAAAGAATCAAAATGCAGATGCGTTGTGACCCGTAAGTACTAAGATGGAATGCCTCTTCTCCATACGATCCTCTACACTCACCATACGAAACACAGCAGTGTTAAGCTGCTATTTTACGCTGGTATTCTGTGAGAGCGTGGTCCTTCCCCGGTCGAGCAGACCCATTCGTGCTACAATTATACAATTAATATAGCTGCAGCATGGCTCTACCACGTATAAAACCTGACCTGCGAAGCCGACGTAGTTCTAATAGTAAAGTAGTATTATGTCGGAAGGGAATTGAAGACAATTACTTACTAAAAATAACCACTATTATACTTAAAAACATATCCAAAATACCTAGGACATCATTACTTGCCTGCCGAATTTTCATTCAAAATCAGTCACAGAGTCAAGAGATTTACTATCCTTTTCTATTTTGCTATATTGCCAATTTTCTTCTTTATATTGGAATTTTCTTCTCCCTTGCACACTATGGCCGTCTATGATCACAAACTAATAAGTGCTAACCCAGTCTATTACTATCATAAGTTTATGGTTACCGCCCACCCTCCCATTCCTCTTGTCACCATTTTGTTCCTAAAAACTGTACCTAGATGTAACTGTAAATACTATTTCCAAATATTCGTAGACTTCTTGAAAGAATCGAAAATTTTTGTTTTTGTCGCAGAATAGATCAATTTTTGACGAAATTATTTCTGTCCAATTGTAGTATAACATCGAATCAAGATGCATACGTATATGAAAAAAATACCATAAAAAAGCAACGAAAATTTTAACAATCGAAGTAATTATTTTAATATACCTAACTATTAATACTATTATAAATCTGAATGACAGGGTAAGAAATTGAATAATAAGAGAAGAGTGTGGTTTGCAAGATGATGTTGCGACCAGGATTAAGAAAGGAATGCTTCGGTGGTTTGGTCATGTAGCAAGAATGAATGAGGAAAGAGTTACAAAGCAAATTTATGTTGCAGAGGTGAACGGCAGAGCCGGGAAGAGACGCCCTAGGCGAAATTTTATCGGCCTAATTGGCGATATATTGAAAATGGGCCAAATTAAGAGTACCTTTAACCGACGAGTGTGTATGCGTGGGTATATGGATGTGGAGGAAGCGAGAGAGGTGTGTCAGGATCGTGCCAAATGGAAGTCCATAGTCTCTGCCTACCCCCCTGGGTGACAGGCGTGAGTGTTTATGTTTATTTATCTACGGAAAAATCCGTAGAGTTGGCAACGCTGATGGCAACACAGATTCTGCTTCATATTTATTTATCTATGCTAGTGTCTTGTGTCCAGTGTTGCCATATATATAGATTTCCCCGTATTTATACAGAATTGCGGTGTGTAATACAGATTAGCACTGGATACAGATTTTATACAGAGTTTTCCAACTCTATTGATTAAATTACCATAATATTGAACATAAAACAGAAGGAGGCAAAATATATGACTAGATACCGCGTTACATACATCATTGCATGATTCTATTCTTTATGGGTAATTTATTTTTTTCACAACGTAATTAGTTAGTATGGCAGCATTACAAGTGTCACTCGCTCTGCTCGGAAAATTCCCTAAAGATTTTTGCGTACTGTCCAAGGTACTTCGCTCCCGCATTCGTCGTGTCGATGTCGTATGTGCGTAGGTTATATGTAAATATTCAAAATCAGATAGAAACTTTTATTAAATATTAATATTGATTGCGTTTTTGTGAACCATTGTGGCATCTAAAAAAACCCTGCAAAAGTTTAATCGGAATTGGGTGGAAGATTCTTCCTATAAGGCGTGGTTGAGATCTAGTAATAAAGGTGATTACTTTGCTTTTAGTACATTTTGTAACACAGATCTTTCAATTGGAAGTGCTAGGAAGAATGATCTTTTCAGACACACGAAAACAAATAAACACGTTGCAAACATTATTCTTGATGATTCAGATGATCTCGAAACCGACTGGTATAATGTCACTGCAACCCGTAATCTTGCTACCTATAGCAATCAATTATATCTTACGCTGTCCAAATTTGATTCTGCAATCTTAAGTCTACCTCATTCCAGTGCCGCCGTAAAGAGGGTCTTCTCATCTATAAATTTAATAAAGACAAAACAACGCAATAGACTTAATACAGATACTATTCAAGGTCTTTAGCCTAGTCTTTAGCTTTTTAGTCTATAGCCTAGAAGTTGATAATAAATTACTGTTGAAATTTAACAAAAATATGTAATAATAAAGTAATTATTAGTTCGTTTGTTACAAATGTTTGAGTTTTAATATTGCTACGAGCTTAGGGTTCGAGACAATTAAAAACTGCCAAAAAAAATTATAGTGGCGCACAACACTATGTTGTTTGTTTAAATTAATGTTTTCAAATTTGCTATATAAACATTTTAGTGTATATTTTTATTTAATAATGATAATTAAACCTTATCGCGTTAGTATTTATTCCCTGGTTTTCAAAAGAAGCAATGATGATAATGATAATAATTATATTTTAGTTTATTTGATTATATAGATTTTAAGTTTAAATAGCATACAGATTTTAGCAGTTTCTACTACAGATAAAAGGTTCCAAGTGTCTGGCAACACTGCTTATGTCAGTCTGTCAGTCTGTGAGTTTTGGCGGGAAATTGACCGGCGGCGGTTTGCCGCTCCTGTATTATTGTTTAAATAATGGTTTGAAGTGGACTTTGATATGTAAAAGTGTTGCGATTTTGTGTATTAAGTGTCTACGCATGTGAACTATTAGTGGAAACAGTGAAACAAGTGCTCTGATGGTGATGGATTCTCAAGATAAGCTGTTTGTTTGCATAGGCACCTTTAGATACCATCGCCAACTATCAGCTGTCTGCTGGATCAAGTTGCCGCCAAAATCTCCCAAGAACTGCACAATGTGACGCATCAACATATTGTGAAGCAGTATACTATGAAGGAGTGGGGAAATTACAATAAACCGAATAAAAATACTTAAGACTTGGCCTAAAGGTCTAGATACCAGGCCATAAACTCCAAAAAAAAAATCTGTCAGTCTGTCAGTGATTAATTTTTTGAATGCTGACTTCTAAATTTTTCTGAATTTTATTATTTTTTTTTGTTATTAAAAACACGTACTACTGAATTAAGTATCAAATTTTATTCGTTCAATACGAAATTGGTTATTTTTATAACTCGTTTGCATATTAATTTTTATATTTCACAAGATGGTGAGTTAACATTCTTGCATGTTAAATTTCTTAAAGGTTTAACTATCTCCTGATACTATTTCAATAGCTTTAAAGTTGCAGTACACGTAGTCACTAGACGAAAATGCTACCATTAATTTAAATTAAGTAATTAGACCGTGTTGTGCAGAAATTATTCAACCAAAAAATTGACCAAACTAATTAAGAAGCTTGTTTTTCAGTTTATTTTGAAGTATGGAAAGACTTCGGAAAATAACAAGTTATCCCAAAATCTACATTTTATTTTCTTTATTATATATAACATGTTATTTTAGGGCTTCTGCCATTAATAATGCATTTAGTTTTCAAATCTTAATTACTTTATGTTTTGTTGGTTGACACATTTCTGCACAGCACATTAATAATATTAAATCTAATTGTGCATATCAATAGCCCGGTGAATGTGGATTGGTATAGCTAGTCGGTACATATTGTGAATATTTTTGTGCAACATTTCAAAGTGCATTTCCCACTGGGGCCATTAGTATTTGTGAATAGTGCTTAGGCCGGATGTCAGGGGGACGTGCCACTGATGCATGTTACTGCAAAGCAGGTTAGAGAGGCGCTAAAAAAAATGACCGGTGGCAAGTCCCCCGGTCATGACGGTATTAGTGTAGAACGTCTGAGGCATGCGGGGCCTCATCTGCCGAGAGTGCTGGCCCTGTTTTTCTCAATGTGCATAAATCACTCTTATTTACCACGTTACCTTATAAAGACCATTGTAGTGCCCACTGTTAAGGACAGGACCGGTGACATCTACAACTACCCCTATATCACTTGCAACAACTATTGCTAAGGTGTTGGACAGTGTGTTTGACTCAGAATTAGATAAGACATGACGTGCAGTTCGGGTTCCGACCTAAACTTTCTACTGATAGCGCAATCCTGAGCCTAAAGCACAATGTCCAATACTACACAGATCGCAAGAAGCCAGTGTACGCCTATTTTCTTGACCTCTCCAGGACCTTTGACCTTGTGTCCCATGAGATACTTTGGAGAAAGTTGGCGGGAAGAGGTGTACCGACTGAGTTGCTGGAAATGTTTAGGTTTTGGTATTCCAACCAAACCAACTTTGTAAATTGGGCTGATTCTCTATCGGAAGGATGTGTTAGAGTGTGGAGTGACACAGGGGGGGGGTTGACATTTCCCAAGCTGAAGAGCTGTATGTATGTGATTGACCTTAATGTGGAGTTGAGCAGCATGCTCGTCACATGGCGCATAGATGGCGTTAGCATTAATAACATAAGTTATGCTGACAATATGGTGCTGCTCAGCCTAACGGTGGGAGGCCTAAGACAAATGTTAAAGGTATGTGAGATGTATGCTACTGAGCATGGAATCAAAGGCTTTCTCATAGTCCAAATACGCCAGACATAGTGGCAAATTTTACTCCTCAGACTTCTGTACAATTTCCCGAAGGGTATGTATTTGGTCTATGGTGTTAAAGCTTTTCGGAAACCGGCTTGTTCGGGAGGCTGGAAGTCGTCAAGTCTGCGCGCGAGACGATTCGTAATGACTCAAAAACAGCACGTAGACGCGGCTCAGAAGGGAAATCCTTTCTTGAAGAACAAGACCACCGCACTTATGAATGTTAGAAATTTAATGAAACGAGTCACTAAATATAAATATCTGGGACATATTATTACTGGTGACCTCAAAGATGATGGTGACATTGAAAGGGAGCGCAGGGCTCTAGCGGTTAGAGGTAATATTTTGGCTCGCAGGTTTTGCCGTTGTACAAAACAAGTTAAGATTACGCTTTTTAAAGCATACTGCCAGAGCATATACACGGGGAGCCTATGGGTCAAATACACCAAAAGATCGCTTGAAGCCCTGCGCTAATCTAATCGCGCTATCTAATATAATAATATATTCAGGATGCTGTTGGGACTGCCCCTTTTTTGTAGTGCATCAGGGATGTTTGCGGCATACCAAACAGATGATTTTAATGCCATCATACGAAAAAAATACCGCATCCCTTATTAGCAGGGTACGAGCCAGTCACAACAGCATTCTGAGAACCGTAGCAGACAGATATACATCGCCGCTGTGGAAATGTCTTGTGCAGAGACTGATCTCTGGGCCCTATTCACCCCCATGATGGTCTGTCTTGGCACAGAGTATTAGGTACTTTTTTGTTATTTTTACTTTTTTAACGCAAAATACGCGCATAGACGTAGAGTTGCGGAAAACAGCCCGTCGTAAACTAAAACTAGGTTCTTTATTTCCCTAGATTTCAACCAAACCACTGTTTTACTAACCCTTGTTATTATTATTATTATTGTATTACTAACCCACATATGGATTTTTAATTATCTGAAATAAATAATTTATTATTTATCACCCACCATACATGATATTGTAGGCTCTTTCTATGTAGATCGGGTTAACTTATTCATAATCTTTTTTCCCCTGTGACCATAGATGAGGCAGTGCATGAAACTGTTAAAATTAAACACAATGATTTCTAAAATGAATATTTACTAAGATGTAGAGATCTATAACCAATTTTGAGGGGTTGGAGGAGGAAAGGGTGATGTGAACCCCCTTTGAAGTTTTTTTATTTTATGAATTACTCATTGTCTAGTATTTCTTAGTATACTGCTGTATTCTATGTGAAGGGATGTAGGAGAGAAGGGGTGGGACAAAGGCAAGCAGGGCAACCACCCTTGTGAGGGGTTGATGTGAAGTGATAGCTTTTAACATTAACATATTTTAGTATTTAAATTGTTTTAAGTGGTGATGAGTGGGAGTCAAAATAAAACATAAACTGGTAAACAACTTAAGATTACAACAAAAGCTAGCAAAAATAAAGTTTACTTTCAATACTAAATGTAAAGAACATTATTTTTAAGTTTTTTTTTACAAGATTTAAATATCTTTTTGGTCCAATTACGTACCTTACTATTTAAATATATAAAAGTATTGCTGGAGAGCGTATATAAGAAAGCCACGAAGATTCTGTTCTGCATTCACAAAAATCTATACAAAAAAGAAATTAAAAATATTGAATCTAAAGTCGCTGAAATCTTGCCTATAAAATACTACCAATAAATATAATTGCACAAAGTTGTCATATATTTTTAACTGTGTGCTCCACCCGAAACTCTTCACCACTACATTGGAAGTCGTTTTCATCATCAGTGTATCAGCATCATTGCTAAGACATACTAACATTAATAAAACAAGTATTAAATCTTGTTCTAGATGCAATTTATGCTGCTGTTTAGTCGACAAGGCAAATTGCGATTGCAGAAATGGTATGTGGCCCATCCAGACAAGCTAAAGAAGAAAATAACTAGGGAGCTGATCACAACAGTGCTTGCCCGTAAACCAAAAATGTGCTCATTCCTGGAGTGGAAAGATGTGAAAGTTGTTTACAAGAGGTATGCAATGTCACTTTTGAATTACAAGTTAAGATTTAATCAGTTACTATATGGATCAATTTATTAATTATTGAAACATATCTAGATTTATTATCAAACTGGTCTGCTTACTATCCATTAACAATACTTCTAAAACAAAGACATAAAAAATTCTGTTAAAAAGAGAAATTTACTCATTTATAATAATTTATTATGAAACCGTCAGATAGCCTATTTATATTCTACTACTAGCCTAATCAGTAATAGGGAATTCATCTCCCATTTATAATGATCCCAATTGGTCAACAAATAGTACCACACACATCCCCATAACATGTGATAATCCAGACCAAGTACTAAGTGCACGCACAAGAATTGGGAGAGAGCACATATTTACCGCTTAATACGTGCTGATAATTTTTTTTAAGCATATAATATAGCTATTACCATCAGAGTTTTTTTTTTTATAGGATAGGGTGATAAACGAGCATACAGTCCACCTGATGGTAGGTGGTTGCTGTAACCCATAGACAGCCACATCTATCCTCAATAAAGAATCAAAATGCAGATGCGTTGTCACCCGTGAGGACTAAGATTAAGCTGCTATTTTACGCTGGTATTCTGTGAGAGCGTGGTCCTTCCCTGGTCGAGCCAACCCATTCGTGCTACAACTATAGTAGAATAGAATAGAATAGAATAATTTTTTATTCAATATACATTACATGTGTAATTCTTATTGAAAGTCATTTTTTACTTTACCACTGGTTCGAAAAAAAAACCTCTGTCCTGGGAAGAACCAGCTAGAAACCCAGTGGGACGTTTTTTTAAAATAAATTTTACAATATAAATGAGTACGAACTATTTTAAAAATTTATTTTAGAAACTGCTTGGAAGTGACCACCTCATTCCCAGGGGTTATTATCAACCATGTATTCATTTATACTATAATAACCCTTTTTATACAGTTTCAGCTTAACAAAACATTTAAACTTGGTAATAGAGAGAGCCTGTACACTTTCCGGGAACTTGTTGTAATAGTGTATACATTGCCCCATGAAGGAGTTACTGACTCTTTGGAGTTGAGTAACTGGTATAACTAACTTGTGCTTGTTCCTCGTATTTACAGAATGTACATCACTTTTTTTAATAAAACTATTTTTGCTTTTGTGAACATACATTAAAGTTTCGTACTGAGAGGCCAAAGTTAATATATTTATTTCTTTAAATTTATCTCTAAGAGAATCTCTCGGTTTTAGATTGTAAATAACTCTAATCACCCTCTTCTGTAAAACAAAAATAGTTTCTGAATCAGCCGCATTTCCCCGTAGCAAAATCCCATAAGACATTATGCTATGGAAATAACTGAAATAAACTAATCTAGCTGTCTCGACACTAGTGAGACCTCTAATCTTTTTTACAGCATAGGCTGCAGAACTTAGTCTGCTTGCTAATTTGGATATATGGGGCCCCCACTGAAGCTTTTCGTCGAGAGTGATGCCAAAAAAAAACAGTGGATACAACAGGGCTCAGTTCCTCCCCATTTAAAAACACATTGGTATTCAGATTTTTAATATTCGTTGTTGTAAATTTAACACAATTAGTTTTATCTCCGTTCAAATGTAGATTGTTAATGTTAAACCAATGTAATAATTTTGATATAGCATTATTCACTTCGTCACATTTAAATGATTGAGGTTTACGTTTAAAAGTCAAGGAAGTATCATCAGCAAATAATACTATATCATGACTATCCCCTACAAGGTAAGGTAAGTCATTAATATACACTAGAAACAAGAGTGGGCCGAGAATCGATCCCTGAGGGACACCCATTAGTACAGGTGACCCGGAAGAACTTTTACCATTGATAATAACCTTCTGCTTTCTACTACTTAAATATGAAATAATAAGTTTAAGCGCTGTGTTCTTGACACCATATTACTGTAGCTTCCTGAATAATGTCTTATGGTGAACACAGTCGAAGGCCTTGGAAAGGTCACAAAATAAACCCAAAGCATCCTCTGAATTCTCCCATGCACAAAAAATATGTTTAATAAGCTCAACTCCAGCGTCAGTTGTCGAGCGACCCCTTGTAAAACCGAATTGATTTTTATGTAGCAATTTATTAATATTAAAGAAACTAACTTAACATCTGATCTAAAATAATTTTTTCAAAAATTTTACTAAATGTTGGTAGTACAGAAATTGGTCTAAAATTGGCGGGGTCTAATGTACTACCAGATTTAAATATAGGTATGACTTTACTGTTTCATTAAATCAGGAAACACACCACATTCGACGCTTGTATTAAATATAGTGGCTAGATAAGGTGCTATTATATTTATAGATAAAATAACTTAACGGAAATCCCCCATAAGTCTGCCGTTTTCTTAACATCAATAGTTTTAAAATATTTAACGATATCTTTTGGCAATACTGATATAGCTGCAGCATGGCTCTTACCACGTTAAAAAGAGTGTAGTTGGTGTTACAAATTTCATTAATTAATTACAGCCTATCAAAATCAAAAGCCCACTGCTGAACTAGGTCTTCCCTTTAGATTTCCTCATCAACATTATTGTGACAGTTGCAATTCTTGACAGGCAGGTTGGCAACAATAGTTTTTTTTTATTATCGGAAAGATGCCGATGCTCCTCTCGTTTCAATTCCCTCTGTCACCTTTTCAACAGCCACGGAATGATATTGAGCAGTGGATTTTCTTACACCACTTCTAAATTATTACACATGTTTTTGTGCACTATGCACACTACATACACTTACACTTAACCAATTTTTTATTGTTATACCTTTTTATATTTGAGAGAAGGCAAACGAGCATACGGCTCACCTGATGGTAAGTGACTACCGCCGGCCATGAACAACTGCAACACCAGGGAAATTGCAGATGCGTTACTGGCCTTTTAAAAAAGAGTAGGCTTTTATTGAAGGCTCTTAAGTCGTATTGGTCCGGAAAATAAAAAAGAGTAGGCTTTTATTGAAGGCTCTTAAGTCGTATTGGTCCGGAAAAATTGCTGGTTCTACAAGGAAGTTGTGCGAGGAAGAAAACTTCTTCTAAATCGCACAGTAGTGGACCGCAACTCATCCAGATGATACCGGATGGTATTTCAAGTTCTGTCGCGATGTACGATGGTGAAATTAAGCGGCTGAAATTAGTCCGAACAATTCCTCTGAGCACTTGCCGTGGTGTATAAAGCATCACCAGTGTCGTCCTCATAGCAATGAATGTTACCGGTTTGCAAAATATAATTGAAACAGCGTTGGTGATAGCACGTAGTCTAGTGGAACACCAGCGTTAATAGGCTTGTAATCGGAGCATGCACAGTCTACTAAGACCTTGATACTATAATCAGCCAGAAAACTGTCGGTCCAATTGCACAATTTCTCGAGAAGCCCATAGGAAGAAAGCTTCGAAAGAAGCGCTTTGTGCCAAACCCGATCGATGGCCTTCGTTATGTCCAAAGTCCAAACTAACCGCCAAAGCCTCCCCCTTGGACTCGATCGCCTGCGCCCATCTGTGTGTTAGGTAAACAAGATCACCAGCTGAGCGACCCCGACGGAAACCGTACTTGTGGTCACTAATCAGCTTGTGCTCCTCGAGGTACTGCATGAGCTGGCAGTTAATAATGGACTCTATTATTTTCGAGAACAAGGAGTTGATGGCGATAGGCCTGTAATTGGACGGATCAGAGTGGTTAACTTTTTTAGGGATCAGGTGCACGAAAGCTGTCTTCCATGAATTCGGGACAACGCCTAGGGAGTAGGAGTACCGGAAAAGACGCGTTAAAACCGATGCCTACTCTGGAGCGCACGTCCTCAGCACAATTGGCGGGATTCCGTCAGGCCCACTCGACTTGTGGATGTCCAGGGAGAGGAGTGCTTTGCGTACTGAGCACTGTGTGAATTTCACATCAGGCATAGAGCACTCACTGCGGGATGGTCGGCGGTGTGTTCTCCCGTCATCGAGAGTCGAGTTCAACGCAAAAAAGGAGCCTAAAAGGTCGGCTTTCTCTTTTGGGCGGAGGGCAGTGAGTCGTCCTCCCTGTGCTGAGATGGTAGTGATGGCTTACAGAAATTCCCTTGGACAGCCTTGGCGAGAGGCTAGAAAGCACGGGTTCCCAAATGAAGGCGAACTAATTTCTCGCCATTTCGCCAATGTGCTCATATTGGCAATAACTGTTTTGAAGGACGTTGAGGCGAAGTTATACTTCTTACTAAGCATGCTGGTGACCTCTAATGACCTGGGTTATTAAAATTTTAAATAATTTCGTTGTTATAGATATGCATCACTGTACTTCTGCTGCGCAATGGAGCAGGAAGACAATGAGCTCCTTACACTTGAACTCATTCACAGATATGTGGAACTACTGGACAAATATTTTGGCAGTGTAAGTATTTTTGTTTATTTCAATGGGGCATTCTTAGATTTCCACTAACTGGGGCGCAACATTTTAGCCGATGTGGACACATCTATTGGAACTGCCGTCATCCACTTTGAAAGGTGCAATAAGCAATAATGTAATCTGTAAATGTGACGGCTCCGTGGCGTAGTGGCTTAGCAATGAGTTGCAACGTTTGGGGGCCGCGGGTTCGAATCCCGCACGGAACAAGTATTTGTATGGCCTACAAATAATTGTTCCGGGTCTGGATGTTTGTCCTTGTGCAATATATGTTTGTAAATTTCCTCCGCGATACAGGAGAAAATCCTAGTGTGGGGGGTACCGTTTTAAAAAAAATTGTAATGTAATAATTTAAGAAATAATAGTGCAAAATCTTCATAGTTTCTTAACAAAATCCATGCACATACCAGGAACTTTTTTTTATAGGATCGGGTGACAAACGAGCACACAGTCCACCTGATGGTAAGTGGTTACTGTGACCCATAGACATCTACATCTATCCTCAATAAAGACTCAAGATGCAGATGCGTTGTCACCCGTGAGGACTAAGATGGAATGCCTCTTTGCCAGTAAAAAGGGTCTCCGGTTCTCTACACTCACCATACGAAACACAGCAGCGTTAAGCTGCTATTTTACGCTGGTTTTCTGTGAGAGCGTGGTCCTTCCCCGGTCGAGCCGACCCATTCGTGCTACAACCATAATATAGCTGCAGCATGGCTCTACCACGTAGAAAATCCTCAATAATTGCAATATAATTTTATAATAATATGTCTGATCATCATCACATTATGGACTTGATATACTGAATATGATAATGTATATATGCTTTTACAACAAAATCCCTGAAAATATGCAGAACTTTTCTATCAAAAGGTTTAAATTATTTATTAAGCAAAAATTGTCTAGTGAGGGTTATTATACTACTAAAGAGTACATGACTGATAATAACCCCTGGGAATGAGGTGATCGCTACCATGCTGTTTCTAAATGTTTTCAAAACAATTGTATAAAATATTATACAATAAATTGTGCTTTTTAAAAAAAATTCCAGCTGGGTTTTTTGCTGGTTCTTCCCAGAATAGAGGTTTTTTTGCGAACCAGTGGTAAAAATAAAACATGACTTTCAATAAGTATTATGTATTGTAATCTATATTGAATAAAAATGAAACTATTCTATTCTATTCTAATCTAATGTATACTAGCGATTCGCTTCGGCTTCGCACGTCTGATTTCTGGATCTCTACAACAGCGCCACCTACTGGGTCCAATTGTGAATCTAAGCAAATCATTTAGAGACCCATTCAAACAAAAAATTTCATCAAAATCAGTCGAGCCGTTTTTTAGTTTTAGTGAGACTAACGGACTGCAACTGATTTTTATATATAGATATTTACTTTCCAACATAACTTTATCCACAGGTATGCGAACTGGATATTATTTTCAACTTTGAAAAAGCTTACTTCATCTTGGACGAGCTAGTGCTTGGTGGTGAGCTGCAAGAGACTAGTAAGAAGAATGTGCTGAAGGCGATCGCGGCACAGGACCTGCTCCAAGAGGTCAGTAGCCAAGACAATGAACTTGTGTAATGTTGCAGTGTCAGTTGTATGTGGTACTTGTATGCTATGAGTATCATCTATATATAAAATCATATTTGTCTTGAGCGGATATTGACGTCAAGTATGCATTCGCTGTGTGCATGAATGTTCAAAATTATTTTTATTATAATATAATAGGTACATATCAAAGAAAAAGATAATAAATCTATTAAAATAAATTGATAAGAAATAATTGTATGGAAAAGTAATAATAAACTCCATAAACCTCCCACTTAAAAATACTTATAATCTTTCGTAGGTTTTTGTGGGACAGGTGTAAATTAACATTTTTGTATTGAGTTTCAGTAGGTTTAAAACAAAGTGTTAGATTTATAATTTTTAGATGACTTTCATATTAGAGTAAGAATATTTGAGCAGTTAATACATGTTGTGTTCAAAAAATGCATTTATAAATGAAAAACATACAAAAAAGTTTTTCTTTGAATATGACAGTTTCGAAGGCCAGTCATTTTTGTATTATAATATTGTATAACATTGATGAGAGAAATATTGTGCAATACCTTATCTAGTCAAACTAGCGTTAGATCTGTTTTCTCAATTTACATTTAGATGTTATAGTGATAGTCAAGCAGAAGAATAAAATGTGGACCAGTATCAAAGAAAAGAGGCCTCAGTAGTGCCTTTGATTATATTAGAGATAGATCACTGTAATGTTATGAGTAGTGCGCACTACCTTTTAAAATATTAATTTTAATTCAATTAATTATTAAAGCACATATCAATCTCTTCGTAATCTCAGTAACTAGAGCTTAATGAGAATTTATGAAATTTAAAAATTTTATTAAATGTCTTATTAAAAACATATATTAAATATATTTAGAATAACTTCGAAAGCTAAAATGTTTAATGCAATTTGAAAGTAGTTCAAAATTATTCCAATGCAAATTTAAGCTAGGAACTGTCAACCAGGCAAAGTTGCTTAAGTAAAATAACCTGTTTAATTTTCTTTTGGGACATTACTAACAGCACACTTATTTTATAACAGTTACACGATTTTATTCATAAGAATATTTTGAACTAATTAATAATCATTGTTTCATTATGAAATTACTAGTATAGAGTGAGCATCTTTATTTCCTATTTGACGCACCGCACTTTGCTAATAAATACCCTGTTTTTGGTGTGATATGCATGCTGGTCAGGACCTGAACGATGGATTGTTGCACTGAGGGAGACCAGGAATGAGTCTGTATATAACTAGCGATGCAGGACTATGGTATTCATAAACGCTTAGCAACTCACTGTTACATTACTTAGAAATAAATTGTTAATGCCTTGCATTCATCCATATACTACAGTACTAATACAATACCACCAGTGGCGGATTATCCTTAAGGCAAACTACGCACTTGCCTAGGGGCGCAAGGTTAAAAAGGGGCGCGCGCGGATGTGTATAAACGAAAATAAAAATTGTCTATTTTCTACCGACTTCATACAGGAGGAGGTACTCAATTCGACTGTATGTTTTTTTTTAAATGTGTGTTACCTCATAACTTTTTTCTGGGTGAACTGGGTGTACTTTCGATAATTTTTTTTATTTGAAAGCTGGTGCTTCTCATGTGGTCCCATATAAATTTGATTGTCTGACCAAGAGTTTAGGAGTTATTCTTAATAATTTATATTGAAGTCGGTTGTACAAATTTTTTAATTATATCACTCCCACATCGCCCTTATTCCTCATCACATTTTTTATTCACACCTGCTGTTAAGGGTACTCGTGTTATAATTATTTTGCAATTATTAAACTAATTATAAATTATAATATGGTTTAATAGTTTACTTGCAAAAAACGCACTTATTTATAATACCCATATGACCTCTAAGAGGTGCCGGTGAGACAGCACCTCATCAGCGCCTCTCTAGCCTAGGGCGCTGTCCACATTTAATCCGCCGCTGATTACTTCTGATAGACATTGTTGGTGGCCTTGTTAACATATTCCGTCTTATGAAAAACGTGTTTTATTGAGAGTCTCGGGGTTAAATTATGGATTAAAGGACTTACTAAAGAAGTTTCCATCAGTCAGTCTTCGCTGAATTTGGCATTTACTGTCAAGTTCCATCCTAAACATTTTAGTTCGCGTGTTTTCGCTGGGCTTCATTGAAACAGAATCTAGTTTAAACCTGAAACTGATTACAAACTACGTTTTGTAATATGACGGATTATGTGAAACATATTGGGTATAACTATATAACTGATCACGTTTGCTTTATTTTGTTACTTAAAATATATTTGCACCAGAAGTAGTTTAGTTTATATACATATATTATAGTGTAAGTAGGATTCTTATTTTTAATCGACTTCAAAAAGGAGGAGGTACTCAATTCGACTGTAGCTTTTTTTTTTTTTATGTGTGTTGTTACCTCATAACTTCTTTCTATGTGAATCGATTTCGATGATTCTTTTTATTAGAAAGCTGGTGCTTCTCATGTGGTCAGGTGTGACCAGAGTTTTTGAATTATCTTTAATAATTTATATTGAAGTCGGTTGTACGATTTTTTTTTAATTTACAAGAAAATAATCATGTAACATAGCGAGCACTATGGGCGTAGCCTCCATTTTTCTAGGATAGGCCCAAGGAGCACAAACGCTACCTCTCGCCCCTTTCTGGTTACACTCATAATTAGTATCAATACTTATTTTAAAATTTCATTAATTTCCATTATGTAAAGCGTTTATAAATGCCTTTCATAAGTAATCTTGATTGATGAACGCTTCGCTTTCGTCCAGGTTGCGCATGCAAACAGTTGCTTATAAATTGTTGCACTTCCAATATTTTATTTATGTAGAAATATTGTATTCAAGTATCTATTCAGTACTTACGCTAGCATATTATATATTTATTCACATTACGCTATAAAACCTCACACAATCGATTTAGTTTAAACTTACATATTATTAATAAAACAAAGCATTTTAAACAATCAATATAATAACCTAATTTAAAAACTTCAGTATATTTAAGTATATTATTAAACATTGTAATCATTTCGCTATTGGTGTAAAGTTGTTTTTAGATGTGTGTATACATACAGGGCTTTGTATTCTTGTAGCTTTGAAACTTCTAATAATGTAATGTGGACACCGTTTTACAATTATTAATAATTAACAAAATATTTAATTGAAAGAATAACTTGAAATACCCTCCATAAAAAGTTATCAAAGCCATCAATTTAATTAAATAAAATTTTAGTACATATACAGGGTTATTTTGTAATAACCGGCCCAATTTGCAGAGAAGGTTTAAATAAGTAATGTAGGTAAATTTTGAAGAAAAATTAATTTAAAAAATCTCAAATTTTTTATCCTTTTTATCTTTTAAATTCAAAATGCGTGTTAGTTAGTGCATTATTTTAACTGATTTTACTATGCACGCACACATTTGTAAGGGTCGATCGGTAGGCAAAAACGTTGTTGCCCATAAATCACATTCAATTTGCAAAAATTTCAAATAAAAGTAGAAGCCTTATTTACTCGTATTTTCAAAACTGCAATAACGGTATATCATTATTTATATATTTGAACTTAAGTTTACAATTTGGCTACTCTTTGGAAAAATAACCATGTATATTATTCAATTATATTATATGTTATTTAATTTTTCTTTGACATTTTGTCTGTAATGATTTGTTTTGTTTTTATTAATAACTTAAAGGGATAATAGCGAGAACCGAATCATAAAACTGCAATAATATCTCCATCACATTTTAGTTCAAAAATTTGTCCTGCAGTTTGCAGGACAAATTTTTGAACTGGTCTTGTCAAATATTAATGTCTTTCCACCGCGCTAATCTTCACCAATCTGAGTATTTTCAGTTGTTTTTTCTTTCTTTAGATTTATGGATAATTGGACTCGGTTTTTTGCCAGTGTCAAGTAATAAGAAATTATACATTATAATTATTTGTTTAAAAACATCTTTACAATACGTCAATGCGTCACATTGCGACGTTTTTTGGGAGATATCAGTCCATGACATATACTATCGTCAAGGCGATAGACAAAATAACAATTGCGATGGATATCTCATGCTAATGGAATCGTTTCTAAACTACGGAATTTCATCCTTATATATCTGAATTTAGTACTTAATGTTTAAGTACTCTTCAAAATAAATTTAGTTACTTAGTTGTCAAGTAATTCGGTGTCCTTCATTTGTATGTCTGCTGTTCGTGCATTTACTGTAATGGATTGTCAAAATACATTGGTTCTATAACTAAACTCTGTTTTCTTGCATGTATCCGCTCCTAACTGTTGCTTGCGTGGCAAGATCTTTCTGTTTAATCTTCTACTTACAAATTTCAACCTTTATTAGTAATTATGCTTCTCTAATAAAATTTTGGCTCAATCTTGCTGCGTGGGCACTTCCCTAGAATCAAGGTGTGGTATTTAACGCTATACTGATACAACTTAAACAGTTCCACGGTGCTCTTAATCTCAAACAAATGTTGACTACGCTCAACGTTTAAAAATATTTTACAAAAACACGTTGAATGGTACTTATCGTTTTCTATACTAATGTACTAACAGCTAAAATAAATATAGTCAACTTACATAATTCATCTGTTGTCACCTACTTTTAGATCTCTAAAAATAATACAGGATATAAAAAAAATTAATAAAATTACATTTGATAAGACAGCGGAAACAAACTGATTGTTCATGCTTGACGAATACCTTTTGTGGCGTGTGGTGTGATAGGACGAGACGGTGGACGCGGCGCTGCGGGACGTGGGACTTCTCTGAGCCTCGGCCTCGGCACCGGAGACGACTTCAACGAGTCTTCCTTGAAACTAAACCAAGATGCCAATAATTAAAAAAAAAACACATTTGAAATATTCACATGAATGACGTTTTAAAAGTGATAAGTGAGAAAGAAGAGAAAGGAAATATTTTTATATTAAGCGCAATGAATTTACTGTACCTACAATCACTCGATACATTCGTCTCGACAATATATATATACACGTCGTCGTATAAAAGAATAATACGGATACAACTATCCATTTTATTAATATGTTATTTTTAATGTTTCTACTTTGCAACACCTATGGCATGGTGGTTTAGTTAGATCTTGTCTAGTCCAGATCTACGCAAAACGAGATTGAGTTTACAGTACCTTGAAGTCTTACAGAATTGTATATGCTTAGGTTCGATTTAGTTTCATTAATTATTGGATTGCACGTTTTATAATCAACTCTGTGGTGTGACGTGGGACTACAAAAAAACTCAAAACATTGGTAATTAAAAATAAGTTAAAAGGAAATGGGATGAAATTCGTAAAATTAGCTTAGTCAATATCATTCCATATTTAGCATTATTCATTGATATATCGCATGTAAGTAATCTAAATCGTTACTTTTTTTTAATAATATTCATAAAGTAAGAAAAGGAAACATACATATTTTTATAAAGTAAGTATTCATTTAAATATTTATTAAATTTACAAGGACATCGTTAAGTAATACTGTAGTAATAAATACTAGTTAAAACTTTATTAAATGTAGGTATTGAAATTGAATATTACATTTTAAATATTTCATTCAGGTCGTTTTAAAAGTATGGAATGTCTAATTTAAGGCTGCCTCTATTATCATGTTTCCACTTATTGTAAGACAATGCAAATAATATGTACAGGAATTAAGTTCGTTTTTATGTTATTTTTTTATTTTACTAATCTATAACATATTTTTATTTTATATGTGACTTAAGTTTAAAAATTGTTGTTTCTTTTTAATTTTAAGTATAATTAAATAACCCTTTAAAGTTGGTGGCTATTATACCAAAGTGGACCAACAGGTTGATTGTAGAGAGAGTGTAGGTGTTATTTTCAATCGAAACCTACTACCATTAAATTTTAATTTTATTCAGAAAGGTGTCTGGAAACTTCTGAACCTAACGATTACCTTAGTAAAATAAGGCGATTGTTTTATTATGTAAAAATTAAGATAAAATTGAATACCCTTTAACTTTAGTGGAGATTTGTGAATAGTTGGCATCATCATCATCACTGTCATCTAAATCTGTGTGTAGACCTAATTATTCCAGATCGATCGATCTCTGGATTTCCTCTTTTAGCTTTTAAAGTCAAAACTTCTTTAGTCGCGTTGAGTGATTTTCGGTAGGGGAAAGACTTATGTGTTCGCGTCACCGATGACCTCGACATGCTCGTGAAGTATTGCGCTCAAGCGCGACTACGCGTCGCTAGTCGCATATATCATCGAGTTTTCACTTCTGTCGGCAGTCCTTATGACTGCCTCTGTTTTTTTTAAAACTTATAATGTTTTAGCATTTTATTTGAAATAGCCTTAGCTGTGACCTGAGTCCAACCAACTGCAGATAATCACCCATAATTGTAGTCTATCGACACTTGACCAATTTAGAACAAGAAAGGAGACGGTAGTCCATCTTTCCTTTAAATGAAATCATTTTTTGTGTATTTTTTCCACCTTATACGAGCATGCATTTTGTAACAATTTGCAAACTTAATTTATCTAAATACCATTCGTGGTTTAATTACTCGCATTGTAATTTTGGTATAAAAGTATTTGTTGTACTAATACAGTGCCGTGTAAAGGCGTTGTAGGAATATCCACTACCACATATCGTACCGTGGGTGTCGTAAGAAGCGACCAAGGAACATTAAACAGGAGATGGGCAGCATAGTTACAGATAACAACACAAAATAATTTCAAAAAAAATGCGTTTGACAAACCGTCTGCAAGGTGTGACAGCTGTGGCAAATATCTCTCTTATGAGGAAATATATAGGGTTAGCTTAATATGTTCAGCAGTGGATCTTTGATTTTTTTTTAAATACTAGTAACGCTATTAAACATTACTAATATTCCCTTTAACCACTTCTGGTAAGCTTAAAATGTTTGTGTTAGAAGTGGTTCACGACAGTAGTCGAATGGCGGGTTCGAACCCACGACCTTTCGAGTTCGCGCTCCGCGCCCTGCCATTAGACTACTGACGCTTGTTTTTTTTTGAGTTATTTTGTTTGAGTTAACTAAGCCGGTTCAGAGCTTTCTAGAAACTTTTTTTTTGTTTTATTTCATTACGAATGTGGTTTGTTTTGAATTTATAGTATTTTTTAAAGCTTTTTATGTTTTGTTATAGTTTAAATATTAATTTTATTGAATTGTTTGAATTATTAGTTTAAAAGAGATATAGTTTACTAACATTTTGTTACATTCACGATCATATAAACCAGCTCTTTAAGAATTACAAAATGAGACCAATTTGGTAATCTATTGCAAACTCCTTGTCGCTGTGTGATTTATGGAATGCTGGATTGTAAAAAGCATTTTAGTGTTGTCATTAGGTGGATGAAATTATATAATAATGGCATTGTGCGCGACTGATACAATGAACCGTTGTAACGGTTGTATTCCATTTTTAAATTAAATACATACAGTGAGTGTACAATTATTTACTGGCATTTTAATTTTTCTTTAGTATCATTTAACATTTAAAACGTGGTAGCCGTGACGTGGCAGAGCCACGCTGCAGTTATATTACGGTTGAAGCACGAATGCGTTGGATCGATTGTGGTAGGACACAGCACAGAATACCAGCGTAAAATAGCAGTTTAATGCTGCTGTGTTTCGTATGGTGAGTGTAGAAAACCGGAGATCCCTTTTTACTGGAAACGATGCATTACATCTTAGTCCTCAGGGGTGGCAACGTACCTACATTTTGATTCTTAATCGAGCATAAATATAGATGTGTATGGGCTACAGTATCGTTAGGTGGACTGTGTGCTGGTTTGTCACACTTATTCTATAATAAAAAAAGATCCAAACGTGTTCAACTAAAAGTTAACATAAAATCAACCCGTTAAATCTCTCTGATGTATAAAAATCTGTAATTGAGAGATTGAGACTGACAAAGTTGCTATGCTTATTCAACTAACGGGTTAACACATATTATGATGGATCCACTCCATAATAGATTTATTTTAAATTTTATTTTGTTTTGTTATAAGATTATTCTTTTTTGGACAATGACCAAGAAATTATTAGTATATATAATAAATAATAATAAAAATTAATAAAAATTCCTTTATTTTCAAAATATATATATATATAAAATGTAATTTTTTTACACATTTGCCGAAAAGCGATAGCTCGGTCTAACACCGACCACGAGCGGCACTGGCTCAGTGATGATCCTTGTTGCAGGAGGAGACCCCGCAGGGCTTCTTCGAGGACCACGGCCTCGGCTAAGAGGCCTGCGCCGCAACCTCATACACACGGACAGTTTTCGGGTACTTACTACAATTAAGCATGCAATATTTGTGTAACTGGCAGGTAAAAAGTAAACAAAGTGTAAGTAATAATACAATAAAACATTTGGAGATTATTTACAGACTTACAGATTGTATACTTCGTGTGATTATATACTGATAATTTGATCCCTGAATATGTTCGTAGGTTATGGCTTCTGACTAATAGCGATTACAATATGAAATTTTCAAAACTAATGTTACTATAAGTTTCTGTTTCTATATTTCAGTAATATCTACCTTTAAATGGACTATAAAAGGCTCAAATTTAGAATGGCGACTTAAATTTCTTAAAATTGTTTTAATGTGATTTTGAAGTTTTATAATAAATGTGACAATTTTAAAAGCTTTTATTTATGTTCACTTGTATATGTGGCCTGGAATTTTTTTAACCATCCACTTAATTAGGTAGAATTTAAAAAAGATATATTTTTGTATATTTTGAAAAATATTATGTACCTACTCTGTCCGTATGATTGTATTTATAGGTAATTAGTAAGCAGTCAACAAATAGAAATAGACGTGTAAAGAAAATACTATAGATACTAAATGCACGAAAGTGACCAATGAAAAAAGTGACCTGTCAAAATATGGTTCTTTTATTGGATATTTTTGTTTTAGTTTCATTGGTCGTTTAGGATTTTTATTAATTATAATTTCAAGCATCATTGTAAAAAGTAATTTCAAACACTTTCATAATAACGTCAGTTTAATTTAAGTACTTTAAAACCAGTGGAGTAGCGTGCCTTAGAGGAGCCCTGTATCAAAATTTGTCGGGGGTCCCAAATGAAGGGTAAAGATTTTTCACAAAAGGAAAAAAACTCACGCATTGAATTAAAGTAATTATATATTGATTATAAGTTATTACTTACAATTAATACTCCTAGGAACTAAGCTAGCCAAACAATTCAAACCAAAATCCTGTTCCATAGAAGTCCTTAGAATTTTTGCTTACATACGTTCGGGGCCTCTGTAGCCCGGGGGCCCCGTATCATTGATACGGCTGATACGGCGGTAGCTACGCCCCTGTTTAAAACTCTAGGCGGGAATACTTTTCAACAAAAAAACGTGCATTAATTTATAGTTTAATACATACCGCTTGCATTGCTAATTTACATAAGGTGAGCGCTTACGCTAAACCATAAAAACGTATCTATAGTATATTCTAATAGTTCGTGTATATCCCGTTCGCAAAATGTACTTAACGCTTTGAGGCAACTATTACTTAAAATTTTATTTGTATTATTAGGTATATTTAGATAATATTTATATTTTGTGAAAATATTTATTAGTATCTGTGCCAAAAATTTATATCAACTAGGCTTGTTCCTATTATAAAAACTTAGATTTAAAAATAGAGCGAACCGAGTTTACTACAAGTCTCGGCAAATTGAATTTTTTTTTTATAGTTGAGGGGGCAAACGAGCATGTTAGATCGGTCTCTGATACAAAGTATTACCCGAGTGAATGAGACTACGGAACACACGTACATAACAGCGGAGTTCACCTACAGTAGCAACAGATACTAGACTAATTGTTAAATACTGCTTCAAAGAAAAACCCGACTGCGTAAGAAATTTACTTCTATAATATACGATTATGTAAGAACTTTATCACAGCTTTATCATTAGTTTTGGAAATATAAGTGAGAATGGGTTGCTAACCAACTTTAAATCGTTATAGATCCTAAAGGATTGCAATTCAAAATGAAAAATGATTACAGAAACCTAATTTTCAAAGACCTATTCAATGATATCTAATTTGACATAGTTCGTCGACTTTCGTTTTCTTTCACAATATGGCGTCTGGTTGTCGCCATATTGAATTTTGATTACATGACAGCAATAAAAATTAAATATATAATAGCCTTTAGTGACACTCACAAACATGTATATACATACATTATGCTTAGCCTGATAAACACGTTACCTTTGGCGTCACGCAGTTGTGTAAAAATGCGATGCCCGCGTCGACAGTGCTTATATATCGCGTTATTTTCTTTGTGTGCTACTGTGGGTGAATCCCATCCTTGTTTGCGTAGGTTGTATGAGGTTTGTGCTCTCTCTTTCACTCTGATATTACTCCATGTATATGTTAGGACTAAACGTCGAAGTGCGGATACACATATGTAAGTTTAGCTGGCTAAAATTACTAACCATGCATTAACATGAAACCTGAGGCCGATGATGTCCGGAGCGCGTCGTCTTACGTCGTGGGGTAATCTAACAAGAACAAAGACTTCTTCTACATGTATACTAACTACTACACGGGATCTAAGGCCTTAATACATTGCGCACTTATTTACGGTCAATTGTCCATAACTCCTTTCGTTGACTGCGGGCGTATTAGAAGACCAGTTCTTCGTTGTGTAAACCGCGAATATTGTTTTCGACAATCTAACACTAATGAGACTAAGCAAACGCTGTCATTATTTCTTTGTGCACTTTGTAAACGTGATTTGAAGTTTATTTCCGACTAGCGATCTACCCCAGTTTCGCACGGGTGATTTTTGAATATCGACAACAGCGCCACCTACCGGGTCCAAGTGTGCATCTAAAAATTTAGGGACCCATTCAAATACACACAAAAAAATTCATCAAAATCGGCCGAATCGTTTTTGAGTTTTAACGAGACTAACGGACAGCAATAGATTTTTATATATAGTAAGAGACAACAGAATCTTCACATATTAGGATATGTCATACAAATATTTGATAATATTTCACTGTTGCTTTGTTCGATATAGGTACATATTATTTCTATTTTCTATCGTTTAAAACTAAATCGATTCTAGATTCTATGGCTGTGGGATGGACTAACGATGAGGACGACACATTTTATGAAAGTTAATCTTTGATGAAAGTGTCATCATCGTCACTAAACCCCTCCTCCCCTAGTAGCTATCGAAATAACAAATTCAGTTAAGTGATAGACCGTAAATACGTATTTTTTTTTATAGGAGAGGGAGATAACGAGCATGCGGCTCACCTGATGGTAAGTGACTACCGCCGCCCATGAACAACCGCCACACCAGGGGAATTGCAGATGCGTTGCCGGTCTTTTAGAACGGTGTAATCTCTTTTCTTGAAGGTTCCAATGTCGTATCGGTCCGGGAAAATCGCTAGTGGTAATCGATTTCACAAGGAAATTGTGCGAGGGAGAAAACTTCTTCTAAATCGCACAGTGATGGATGGTAACGCGAGTTTTGTCGCGATGTGCGATGGTGAAATTGAGCGGCTGGAATTAATCCGAACAATTCCTCAGAGCACTCCCCGTGATAGATGCGATAAAATACACAAAGAGATAGAACATCTCTACGCAGTGCCAGTGTATCGAGCCAATCAGCAAGAACTCGTTCGTCGACGATTCGAACCGCTCTGCGCTGGATGCGGTCAAGTGGAAGTAGCTGGCACTGGGGTGCCCCGGCCCAGAGATGAAAACAGTTCCATTTGAGGCCAAACTTGCGCGTTGTAAAGTTGCAAGCGATGTGCCGGCATGAAATACTGTCTCGCTCTGCTGAACACGCCAAGCTTTTTAGAGGCCAATTTGGCCTTCCCTTCCAAGTGACCAGGGTTATTTCGAAATAACCGGCCAAATTTGCAGTAAGGTTCAGAATAAGTAATATAGGCAAATGGTGAAGAAAAATTAACTAAAAAAATCTCAAACATTCTGTGCTTTTATCTTAAATTCAAAATGCGTGGTAATGCATTATCTCAGAGTACATTCGTAAGGGTCGATCGGTAGGCAAAAACGTTGTTGCCCATAAAACACATTCTATTCATTTACTGTGCCAGTACGCGCGCCCGTGCGATCCTCACCACACACTTTTTGTTCTGAATTTGCCGCTCTAGTAATTAGTATACATGCAAGTCTTTGAACAAGCCATGCTAATGTCGCTCGCTGTACAAACAAGAACGCACGGAAGAAAGATACGACGTGGATTGGGCGGCGGCATCTAATTCCACGCGAGTCTCTATTGTGCATGGCATGCGTAATAGGTGCAACCAAAAATGCACAGCCAATAATGTCCTCAGCTATGGGCAGTCGAACCTTAACTCACTCTCTGATATTACTTACTAGGTGCTTACGTATTTTTGACAATGGAAGTCACGGACTTTCTAAATTGTAATTACAGTAGAACGCCGATTATTCGAATTAATTGGGACCGGGGTCGATTCGGATAATCGGCCATAGACTAGTAATAAGGGAAAAACGAACTGTCACACATAGATTAAACTTTAGAAAAAAAAAACGTTCCAATGTTCCGTTTCACGGAAGCCATGCGACACAATGTCTTGCCTCTAGCTTTCAACCTTAAACAGTTGAAATATAATTGACTCCAGCGAGTTCCAACTTATTACAACAAAACAAATTACATTACTTACTTACAGTACTTGATTTTAATTTTTTATATTATGCTTAGGACCGATTCGGATAATTGGCGATTCGGTTAATCGGCGTTCGGATAATCGGCGTTCTACTGTAATACCAAGTTTTACCCGATAGCAACTAATTTTAGCTATAATTATATCGAATACAAAAAGTTTAAACCAACCGTAACCAGCGCTGCAACTAGTTGTAGCTGTTCTAATCCTAGTTGTAACCGCACTTCGGCGTTTAGTCGTAACACACATCTACAAAAGAGCTACCTAAAGCTGAGGTAAAACGATAAAATGGGGATCGGACATATTTACAAAACTAAACTATATCGTAACCGTGGGCTAATTCTATTGACAATTTTTAAAAACTTTTCAGCTGCTTTGTAATGTGTTAAAAAATATTGTTATATATTTATTATTCTACTTTGTTATGTAACATATTTATTATGTAATAAAGTAACATTATTATAAAAATAACATAATTGTGCTTTCCTGTCTTTTACACTACTGTATATTCTCATTTTCTGTGAAACATTCCCATATCTAAATTCATATCTTATTACTTTTGTAAAAAATAGGGAGCCTAAAGAATTTTGGCTGATACATCTAATTTTGAAATTTAGATAAATAAACTATTGAACTTTTTTATGCAGTTTCTTTAGTTATACTAATTGGTGAAATTTTTATAGAATGGGTTGACAAACGAGCACACAGTCCACCCGATATTAAGTGGATGATAGAGCCAATAGACATCTACCTTCGATAAAGAATCGAAATGCAGATGCGTTGTCACCCCTGAGGACTAAGACGAATGCCTCGTTTTCAAGTGAAAGGGGCCTCCGGTTCTCTACACTCACCATGCAAAACACCAGCATTGAGCTGCTTATTTTATACTGGTATTCTGTGAGAGCGTGGGCCTACCCGGTCGAGCCGCCCATTCGTGCTACAACCATAACAGCGTGGCTCTACATTGTAGAAATCTTATAAAGTTAAAATAAAACAAAAAATAGTAAAAAGTATAAATATAATTAATGAAAATTCATGACAATACAAAATATCTTCTTTTAAATGTTGCCATATAAAATACTTTATTTAATTACATTGAATATAAAAGACCAGCTCAGTCTTTGAAAATAGAAATTCAGTACAAAATTTGTTCCCTTACATACAATAATAATTAAATCACCAAAACAACGTAGATACAATCAAGTGTCTTCATTGTGGTGGACAAGATTACTTATATAATACTAACTTATAAATACAAATAAAATTATAGACATTATTGTGGATTGGAGTCCTCAGGTTTGTTGGATTTCCCTTCGGGTGTGGACTTCACTTTGTCAGCAGTTGTCGGAGATGATTGTGGTGTTCCAGCTGGGGCTTGATTAGCGTTAGTTGCTGGTTCGGCGGGGTTGGGTTGCTTTGGCGCGTTTTCTTGTTCCTGCTGTTCATTGGTCACCTTAGCAAGGTGGACTGCCGCTAACAATGCTGTGATGTATCGTCGTACATCTAATTCAATACCTGCATGAAGAAGTGTTACGAATTAAAAAAAATATAATTTCAAATGCGTGCAGTTTATTTAAAACAGTATCAATACATTGCAGCCTACAGAAGACATAGACCTCTCTCATAGATTGTCTCAAATTAGATTTTGCTATAGTTGCCACTCTTGGCAGGCGGCTTGGCAACCTCAGTATTATTCTTTGAGTTAAAGTCTATATACGTTCCACTGCTGGGCACAGGCCTAAGGACAAGGAAATATCCGCCGCGCTGCCCCAATGCGTGTTAGCGAGCTTCACATGTCTTCGAAATATTTTTTTTATTATTTCTCAGACATTTCCTCGCGATGTTTTCGTTCACCGCCGAGCACGTTGTAAATCAGCACTTAGAACTGCAATTAACAATTTCATTGGTGCCGGTGGCGATCCAACACGGTTTGCTTGTGTACTGTGAAATTTACAGAGAGCGTTTTGCCCCCAAGCGACCATGGCTTACTTTGAATTGTTATCAGCTGCCCATCCCCTGTTTCAGTTTCCCTTTGTTGTCTCTTACCACATCCACGGCATGATATGTAGTAGTGGATATTCTCACGCCGCAATTACATGTTTAAAAAGTATGTTACACAGTAAACATAAGGGTCTGAAGTAAGGGATATGGCAAGTTTTTCCAACTTAATAATTTAAAATTTTGTACAACCGACTTCAATATAAAGTATTAAGAATAACTCAAAAACTACTGGTTATTGGCACCAGCTTACAAATAAAAAAGAATCATCGAAATCGGTTCACCCAGAGCAAACAAAAAACATACAGTCGAATTGAGTACCTCCTCATTTTTGAAATCGGTAGAAAAGAGACCTAACCCAGTAATTAAGAACTATGATAATATACAAAGCTTGTCCCAATTTCTTATGAATGTTAAAAGTTACAACCAACCACCACTGATTGTAAACACTAAAAGTAGAGTCTACAATCGGTAAATACGTAAGCTGTGCGGTGGCGACTTAAGGGAATCCATGGCCTCATGTCATCCCATGGATGTCGTAAAAGGTGACTATAAAAATCTTCTGGCTTTCGATAGATGGCGGTATAACTATATCTTTCACATCAGAAATAAAATACCCAGATACCAGACCAGCGTCAAAAGTACTGCTGGTACTGGCCTACAAGTCGCGGCATGTAATTCTAGCGCTGAAAGAAACGTGGTCGGGACGCGCACAAATTGAATTGCACGATTGCGACTGGAGAGCCAATCAGCGCGACTTATGCGTAATAACGGTCACCGCTAGACTTTCGTGCCGCTACTTATACCATGCACGACGATTAAGACAATTCTTCCTTTAATTTACAACAGTGGACTTTTATGGGCTTAATGTATAATTTTAATCTGAGGGTAGCCGTAGTTAACAATGACATTCATTTGAGATTGGGACGTAGAACACCTTAGTCCCCCCCGTGACCATGGGTGCTATAAACTACTCGAAACGTCGGGAACATAAGTTAATATATGCGATAAAATCCATAAAAGTTAGTTTCATTTAAATTCTATGCGCTGATAACGAAATAGTTGATACATACCAGACTTCCTTAGTTCATTTATCTTGGATGCAAGGTTTGCCCAGACCCGGCGAGCTGCCACTGCGCTCAGTCTGCCCACGGTCTGCACAGTGTGCAGCGCTGGGTCGTTGCTCGCTGGAACTATTTCACCTGAAAATTTAATATGAGTAAAGGAACAGCCATCGTAAGTCCCACAGCCGGGCGTAGGTTACACAAAAATGGACTGCGATATGTCTTATCAAACGTCCTCGGCATATTTTATTACGAAGATATAAAATTTTAAATGACTACTTGGCGATGATGGGGTTCGAACTCCTTTTTCTATAGAATAAGAGTGACAAACGAATGCAGTCCACCTGATGGTGAGTGGATACTGTGGTTCATAGACATCTACATCAATACTCGATTAATAATCAAAATGGAGATGTATTGTCACCCCTAAGGAGGACTGACCCTGAGATGGAATTAGGCATATCCAGTATTAGGGGTCTCCGGTTTTCTCCGGGATTCATCATACGAAAAACAGCAGCGTTATGCTGCTATTTTACATTGCATTGGTATTCTGTGAGAACGTGGTCCTTGCTCGGTCGAGTCGACCCATTTGTGCTACAACCACAATATAGCCGTAGTATAGCTCTACCTGTATAAAACTCTTCACGCCCTAATTTGATGTACACAAGAAATATCTGCGTAAGGTTGCCGTGTGAAGTCGGGGCGAATCGCTAGTCATGAATAATAATAGAAAACTGCACTAACCATTTTGCTCTTGAGGTTCTACAGGTGGTAAATATTGATCCAAAAACTTCATGGCGTAGGTAGCGCCCATGTCGACACCGTGTAGTGCCTTTTGTCCGTAGGCGGTGGAGAGCAGAGCGTTGGCCTTTGCCCAAGAGAGGTCCTTAAGCGATTGCACGCGCTGTCCCGCCGCCGCACGTGCGACATACACCTGGAACAAAGGCGACATCATATAGACTCCTTTTAGACTATAAACATGTGATTTCTGAGGATACGCCACAGGAAGAGACCGCCACTCCGTTAATATGTAAGGAACTGAATCTCCTTAATACAGGCTATTTTATAGTCTAGCAAGAACAGAACTCCCTCACTAGTTTTTTTACCTAATTTTTATTATTTCATGTAAGATGTTTTTTCTGTATGTACTACAAGTTTTTTTATAGGAATAGGGTGACAAACGAGCACACAGTCCACCTGGTGGTAAGTGGTTGCTGTGACCCATAGACATCTACATTTATCTTCGTTTGCGAATCAAAATTCAGATGCGTTGTCACCCGTGAGGACTAAGTTGGAATGCCTCTTTTCTAGTAAAAATGATCTCCGGTTCTCTACACTCACCATACGAAACACAGCAGCATTAAGCTGCTATTTTACGTTGGTATTCTGTGAGAGCGTGGTCCTTCCCCGGTCGTACCGACCCATTCGTGCTACAACTATACAACTGATATAGCTGCAGCATGGCTCTACCACGTATATAGTTTAAAGTTTAATAAAGTTTATTATTATTATTATTAATACTAAGGACTTCAAATTTCATTCTTACATGTCCGTGATTGTACAACCAGTGCGTGTTGCCAGTGATGACTTACGGATCTGAGACGTGGTCCTTCACTGTTGGCCGTATGAGGAAGCTCAAGGCCGCTCAGCGAGCTATGGAGAGGGCTATGCTCGGGGTTTCTCTGCGTGATAAACTTAGATGTGAGGATATCCGCAGTAGAACTAGAGTAACCGACATAGAACAACGGATTAGTAAGCTGAAGCGGCAGTGGGCCGGCCACATAGCTCGAAGAATTGACAACCGATGAGGAAAAAAGTAAAGCTCGAGTGGCAGCCTGGGTACCGGTAGGCTAAATTTAGGGCGACCCCCCACTAAATGTAGTGACGATCTGGTAAGACATGCAGGAAGTCGATGGATGCAGGTGGCTCAGGACCGTGCTTTGTGTCATTCCTTGGGGGAGGCCTATGTTCAACAGGGGACTTATGAAAGGCTGTAATGATGATGATGTCCGTGATTAATATTCGTGTCCATGAATAATACCGTACGAGAATGTGTTAATTCAGTGCTATCAATTAAAGTGTTGCCAACAAAACTCAGTTCGTTTATCCATTCAAAACGCCAGGAAACTTTCATTGTCTTTGCGATATAATGGCTTATCTTATAAAGGGAATGTAATTATAAAATCAAGAATCTATAAAGGTATACTACTATACAATTAGTCTTATATTTTTGGAGGGAAATGTTTATAACATAATTTTAAAACTTAAATATTTTGATATTGACCTCATAGCATGTAACCGTAGAAAAATATTTCTTATTTGGGGCAGTTTTGATAAAAACTGCATCAAATAATAGGTACAATGTTCATTAATTTATACTTTGACTTAGAATCAAAACTTGCTAGTAAGTAGGTTGCATTTTATGCTAGAAATAAACACCAAAAAAAAAACCATTTTACAGTGCCTTTGAAAATTCATTTACAAAAAACGTCGAACAATATCAAATAATCCTATTATGAATTACTGTGAGCGATTATTGATTAAATCGACGATTGCATACTTAATATTTTATTGTCCTCAATCATAATGTTGACATTACATATCGCAAATGTTTAATCTAATCTAGCAACGTTAGCACAAAAACAATCGTTAGGTATGTTGAATTGCAACGATTATGTAATTGTAGCATATTGTCGCAATAAGCCAAAAACATAACAAACCTATTTTTAAATGTGTTGTAAGAAATATATAAAATACATACACATTACGTATAATTATCAACTGGGATGCGGGAAATAAAGACTGTGTAAGAACCTCCGAAGGAGGCGGAGTTACAGCCGAAATAAGAATTAGTATTTTTCTGGTTTCTGGGCATTTTGACCCCCATGACATCCTCTACATGATAGGCTATTTAAACTGACTAAGCCTAAAGTTCGAGTCATCCCCAACTCATTTCTAGTCTTTATTTCCAATTATAATAAGTTTTTTTTGCTTACAAACGTGTTATAGATTCTACATTCAATGAAATGAAGATTTATTTGCTTTGAAAAAGGGGTACATTTAGGTGGTTATTATAAAGTGTAGTTCAGCTTTTTCAGCCATCTATAATAGCATGCAAATACATTTTTTATAATTAAGTTTATTATATTACAATATAAAATTCGATTAAAATATTTATCGGCATGTCATTGTTTAAAAATTAGCAATACTAGTACCAATACATACTAAGATTAAAATTTAATTAAAAATATATAACTATCGTAGTGTCACATCATGTCAAATTTAGGTAGTCTTCACATTATAAAAACAATGTTCATTTAGCCTAGCCTAGCATTCATGTAAAGGGCGCCTTTAAGTCTATTAAGGGGTAAGGTCTTTTATATTTTGGGGTATTTTATTAAATATGAGAATACACATCCAGTAGCAGTTTTTTTTTTAAATCGAGCACTCTTGGGTATAATTTCAGCAGCAAGTATATTGCCATTTCTGGTATTTCGTGTGTAAATGTCTTTTCATATTCTATTCTATGAAAAAAAGCTAAATCTACAATTAGTAATAGATTATTAGACGTATATATTTTATCAACGAGCGTGCACCGTCGCTCGAGTTGCCTTGGAATATGGTCCAGATTGAAAACCAGTGTCACTGTCCATTTCACAGTTTCATGCTGCAGCACTGATTTTTTATATATATTTTCATATATTTATGATACGATTAATATTTCGGTTCATAAGTCTTTTTTATTACTTTTGATATTTTTGAAATGGAATAACAGTTTCTTTTTGTTTTCAATAAATAAAACGTCATTAGGAAAATGGTGACAATAAAACAATGCGATATCAGCAACATTTTATGTAACACAAACAACATTCTTAGACTATAATAATTTATCAGTAAATTCTAACCAAAAAAAAAAACAATTCTGACACACTCGAAGGTTCTCCGACCGGTTCATTGTCCATAACAGCTTATCAATAAAGCAATTATCTTATCACACTTAACTAAAAAAGAAGCTGTTTATCGTTTACTAAAACAAAACCGTTTACGATAACAACACTGTTTTTAGTTTCTAATTTTTTTTTTAGAATAATGGTGACAAAAGGGCACACAGTCTACCTGATTGGTAAGTAGATGCTGTGACCCATAGAAATCTACGTTTATCATTGGTTAATAACTAAAATGCATTATCAATCCTGAGGACTAACATGGAATGTAGTTTCCAGTAACAAGGTTCTTTCCGGTACTCTACACTTACCGTACTAAGCACATCAGCATTAAGCTGCTATTTTTAACGCTGATATTCTGTGAGAGCGTAGTTCCCCGGTCGAGTCGACCCATTCATGCTGCAACCGCAATATAGGTGCAGCGTGGCTGTGCCACGTATAAATTTATTTACACGTCACGCGACGTTCATTCTACCTTTTAACGGAAACCTTATCATAGAATTCATTCATTATTTATCATTTATCTGCCGACTTCAAAAAGGTGACTGTACTCAAGTCGACTGTATGTTTTTTTAATGTGTGTTACCTCATAACTTTTTATTAGGTGAACCGATTTCGATGATTCTAACTAATAGTTCTTTTATTATTTCATTTCATATATCATGTTATCAGAGAGATGGTGATGCCCATCTTCTATTTCGTTCCCCTCTGCCACCTATTCAAAACCCACGGAATGATATGGAGTAATGGATATTCTTACACCGATTGTAAATGGTTACAATAATTTTACATGTTACACAAATTCTTTTCTGCATAGCATGCACAAGAATGTGTGTAACATATACTCAATTCGACTGTATGTTTTTTTGATGTGTGTTACTTCATAACTTTTTTCAGGGTGAACCGATTTCGATGATTCTTTTTCTTTAACTAATACTTTTTGAGTTATTCTTTATAAATAACTAGCTGGCCAGGCAGACGTTGTTCTGCCCTCTTCGACGACCCTTCATATAAAAAAATCCTTAAATTCGTAATAAAAAATATTGAGGGTCACATAAAGGGATAAAAACTATCCTATCTCTCAAGTTGGACCCAACTGCACTGTGCAAAATTTCATTACAATCAGTGTAGTAGTTTAGGAGTTCATCGCGGACAAACAATGTGACACGTAGTTTTTATTCATAAAGATATTGAAGTCGGTTGTACAAATTTTTTAATTTTTAATCATATATTTTCAATTTACGAAATCATCATCTTAAAAGGACTTTTTTCGTCTGGCATAATCTCCAAAAGAAATGACGATATCGTCTCCAAACCAATTTCATTCGACGATTAATTGCGTAATAAACACCTTATTATAATTAAATAAACACCTATTAAGTTGTCATTCAAAACGATAAGTTATTTTTCTTAGGCCCGCTCTATACATACGGAATTCCGTTTCGAGATTCCGTTTCGGAATTTCGAACGGTCGGCCACACACAAACGGAATCCCGTTTTGCCCGCAAAATATCGAACGGAAAACTACCGTACGTGTGTGGCGGGTCATAGATTTTATATGGACTTGCTGCGTTCGGGATTCCGAATCGGAATATCGAAACGGAATCTCGAAACGGAATTCCGTATGTATGTGGCCGGCCTTAAGCAAACAAATAAAACGAACTAACTATTAATAACAAAATTAAACTTTTAATAAAAGTAATCAAAGTTTCAAAGAACTAAAATGATTGTAATTATTTCCATCTAACAGCTTCAGAAGTTTGTACAAATACTTTATTTTACTACCCATTTTCCTACCTTTTTTTGGAGTTTTTTTCTCCAAAGTTTTTGGGACTAAGCCTAAAGTATAACCCATCTAATGAAAAAAGAATGAAATCACTTCACAATTGACGAAGACATATACACAAAAAAAAAACAGTCCAATTGAGAACCTCCCAAAATTTGTGTAATATTACAGTCGGAAGTTACCATACAAACGTCATCGTAAATGCCGATGAGTCAGTGCATTTGAGAAAGTTGCAACATAATTCTATGGTTGCAACGTAAATATATTTGTCGACACTAAAAAAAAGTTCAGGAAATATTTGCTATTGCTTCGCTAATCGATTATGATTTTTAAAATATTTACTTATAATAATAGTGAAAGCGGACACTTTAAAGATCTAAAAACGAATAAAATTATGTCACATTCTTAAGATAGGTGCTCGGACAATGAAAAAATTAAAACCCCCGACTTTAGAATATGAAATTATTATTTTTTTATCCATTGGACTGAACTTATAATCGTAATGTCTATTAAATACATTGAAAATGTCATCCTCTATTTCGCCACCTTTAAGACTTAATACTTTCTCCAAATTTAAGTACCTATATGGGACCATCCTTAAAGTTTAACCACATAAAGTATAAGTATAAATAATAAAAACGCATAATAAAAATCGGTTCACAATTGACGAAGAACGAAGAATTGAGCGTAACATACAAAAAAAACAGTCGAATTGTAAACGCGCTCCTTTTTTTTTGGAATCAAAGACGTATTAAAAAAGATAGACAGGTTACACACTAACATTATTGTATTTTAAAGTGGCGCAGGTAGTACTATATCTACGTACTGTTATTTATTATGACACGTTACGCTAACAAAAAGAGACAAATGATACGGCATACTTATCGTTAGAAAAAGATGAATATACATCATTAGTTGCGTATTGATTGCTGCTGAGCGCTCATTGGTGCGAGCGCGTGACATAGCAATATGGAAATGAACACACTAGCTAGGGTTAAAGTTTACACTAGCGGTTAGTGTCGAAATAATAAAACCAATTATGAACAAAACATCTATATTCAAAATATTAATGAGACGTTTTTCTTGTCTCTAACAGTTGCCGTGTAATTTGTGCACCACTAACTACTAACAACTAATAACTAGAAGATTACGCGTTGTAGCGAAGGTATAGCCGCGACGCGAGAGCGTGCCCGACTGAATGCGAGTCGGGCAATTACCTTACTTTCGTATTGCCATTTTAGAGCGAGTATGACGTATCTATACTTTAAAAACATCTTAGTTTGGAATCAGATAAATTAACAACTTTTCATACGTCAGTCACAATATAGTCTGATATACCCTAAATTCTTGTCTATTTTTCTATTTCACTGGTCTACGATTCGTATGTTCGACAAATAATGATATCATAATGCACGACATGTGAATATCAATGTTTGTATTAATTCGTAGATCTGTTTCTTTACTACGCCGAATTGTGATTAGGTATTTCAAAATGTTTCGTGAAAAAGACGTATCGTAATAACGGATACGTATTTATTTTTTATTTTATTTCATAAGCACACTTACAATATACACATTAAACATTATCACTAGATTGTATAAAAAGTAACACGCTCACTTATATCATATCAATAACAAGTGTACATAACATTTACCACCAAAACTACCTACATGTTAACATTGAGAAGGAAAAAAAGGAAAATATAAAAAAGGAAAAAAAAGAAAATATAGTATTTGTACGGACTCGTAAAGTCGTAACCGAGCTGCTAAATATTAAAGGTTGAAAATAACCCGCGGTAATGAGGTATTAGCTACCATGGTAGTTATAGGATAATTCAATTGTACTAAAAAAATTATGTCTAGATATATATCCCGCTGGGTTTCATGCCGATTTTTCCCAGAACGTGTAAATTTCAGACAGCTTTTAGTAAGTATTATATAATAAGCTATATTAAATAAAAATATCTGTATGTACATACTACATAGTATAAAACAAAGTCGCTTCCCGCCGCTTGTACGCTTAGATTTTTAAATTAGGAACCAAAATCTTTAAAAAAAAGTGTATACAAAGTCTCCGTCCCTAACATTAAAACCTCTTTTGGTTCCTACCACCGTGCGTGCGTGCGTGCGTGCGTGTGTGTGTGTGTGTAGGTGTTGAGGTTTCTGATGTTATGGTATCCAGATATTTTGTTATAAGTGCGTGGATGTAGAAAACGTGGTAGGTGACTAGAGAAAGGTTTAGATTCACGATTGGACCCGGTAGGTGGTAGACATCCTTGGTTATTATTTTTTCATGTGTACTCATATTGATGTATGTATGTATTCACTTATGACAAGATCAAGTAGCAGTTCTTTAGGTCGCTACCTAAACAGCTCATGTCAAACAAATTTAGTATGTGTTCATTAAATTTTGACGGCTTCGTGGCGCTGTGGCTTAACAAGGAGTTGATTGCTCTGGAGGCCGCGGGTTCGAATCCCGCACGGAACAAATTTTTATGTTTTTATTTGTATGTTCCACAAATAATTGTTCCAGGTCTGGATGTTTGTCCTTGTGCAATCTATGTTTGTAAACTGCTTCCACGATACAGGAGAAAATCCTAGTGTGGGGTAATATTTAAAAAAAAAATTATAACTTATACTTTCCCGTTTACGCCCGTGGATTATGAAGGAAACTGCGTAAATAATATGACATATTTATAAAGAACACAGTTGTACACAGTTCACGGTAAAACAATGCGTTATCATTGTCGTTCCCAAGTTGTGATTACAGACATCCTGTTACAGACGCTCAAATGATAATATGTCGCCTTGTTGCGATTACACATTACATATTATTATGTATAGTTACCAGTTAGTTGTTAGCGTTAATATCACATGACAATTTAACATTTCGCCATTATCAATAAACTACTCAATAAAATGTTTTTTTTTTTCAAGAAGTCTGTTAAGGTCGTAACTACCCTCTTATCGGCCGACCGGCAAAAAAGCACTCACTGTTGTGTTCGAGTTGAAAGGATAAGAGAGCCATCCAAGCCAGCCAGGATTAGTCATCAAGGGTGCCAAGTGCCAACGAATCTGTCTTTATTTGAAATATGTTGAACATGTCGTGGGCTGCAATAACCGCTCACCATCTATCTGGTGCATTATTAGGTTGTATGTCATGTAAATATTTAATAAATAAAAACTTAAACACTACTTCTATGAAACAGGTCCATATCTAGTAAAAGACTGCCGCACGCTGATGTTAATACTTGTGTAACAACAACTCTATAGAAAAACTTTGTTGTTATAATATCAAATTACACAAGATTTCCCGACTTACCTTATTAACATGTGGCGACAATCTCGACAGCACGGCCTGTTTTGTAGTCTCCACGATGACCTTGGGCTGTTCATTAACAAGCGGTACTCTGCGACCGAGCTCGTCTATCGCAGCGGCCATCTTGGCGTCGCCGGCCGCCAGTGGCGAAGCCACATAGTGCGCTGCTGTTGCCGCCGCGAAGGATACGCTGGCTTCCGCCGTTGACAGGGCCCATTCTAACAGCGAGTGAGCACCTGAGAAAGGAAGGAGACTGTAATTTCGCTGCTTAAAGAAGACGACGAACGAATTATAAACAGATAATAAGAGGTTCATAGACGTGGCAGCTCAGGGGTTATGAGTGCGCTGTAAATTTAAAAATACACGAGCGATCCAGGTTCGATCACTCCGACAATGAAATTATTAAATTCCCAGGAAGCGTGTGTACAGCATTAGGACAAATATCGTCTGTAATTTTACTTAAATTATATTAGGACCAGAGTATATTGAAAGCGGTAAGCATACTTTTTTGCTCGGAATGTAAAAAAATCTTAGGCTACATAAACTTGGCAAGTAAAACATTATCTAAATGCATAGTCACATCCAAATTGTTAGTTTTCGAGAATTCAATTACATTTTGTACACCTAAACAAGTGGTATAGTTAAAATTTTTGTATACTAGACATTTTTATAGGATAAGGGTGACAAACGAGCACACAGTCCACCTGATGGTAAGTGGTTGCTGTAGCCCATAGACATCTATCTACATCTATCCTCGATTAAGAATCAAAATTAAGCGTCAGTAGCCTAATGGCAGGGCGCGGACCGCGAACTCGAAAGGTCGTGGGTTCGAATCCGCCATTCGACTACTGTCGTCAACCACTTCTAACACAAGCATTTTAAGCTTACTAGAAGTGGTTAAAGGGAATATTAATAATGTTTAATAACATTACTAGTATTTAAACAAAAATGCAGATGCCTTGTCACCCGTTAGGACTAATATGAAATGCCTTGTTTCCAGTAAAAAGCGTCTCCGGTTCTCTACAATCACCATACGAAACAGTAGCAGCGTTAAGCTACTATTTTACGCTGGTATTCTGTGAGAGCGTGGTTCTTCCCTGGTCGAGCCGACCCATTCGTGCTACAACTATGCCAGTAATATAGCTGCAGCGTGGCTCTACCACGTAAAAAACTTCAATATAATGTAATAAAATTCAATATAATAAATAAAATGACAACATCATCAAGGGAGTCGAAGTAATTGAAATGAGTTTTATTAAGGATAACTCAAAAACTACTCGTCAGATGTTGATCAAATTTATATGGGACCACATGATAAGCACCAGCTTTCAAATAAAAAAAGAATCATCCAAATCGATTCTCGAACTTCTTGACACGCACTAATTTTTCTATCTTTATCAGCCAGTCCGTTCATTGCCGGATACATTGCACCTACCTACCACCACCTTTGTAACGTGGTAGTCATGCTGCAGCTATATTAGTATTAGTAGTATAGTTGTAGCGCGAATGGGTCGGCTCGACCGGGGAAGGACCACGCTCTCACAGAATTCCAGCGTAAAATAGCAGCTTAACACTGCTGTTTATGACTGCTGTGTTTCGTATGTGTAGAGAACTTTTTACTGGAAACGAGGCATTCCATCTTAGTCCTCAAGGGTGACAACGCATCTGTATTTTGATTCTTTATTGAGGATAGATGTAGATGTCTATGGGTCACAGCAACTACTTAGCATCATGTGGACTGTGTGCTAGTTTGTCACCCTTATCCTATAAAAAAACCTAAACCATGTTGTTGGTTGCAAATAATTTAATATAAATAAGTGTTGAGTGCGGGCGATTTTTGAAATTAGTTCAGTATGGTTTTGGTTTGGTTTTTGCGTCACATTTTTTCTTTTATAGTTGGTCTGAGTTAAATATACATCATGAATTGTTCACTTAAAGTATTGAATGTAATATATACCGACAACCGTTATGGCCATCGTTGGCAATGACCATCAATCCACCTACTAAGCGTGGTCAAGCAACAGACTGACTAAATCACACTAAATCATATACCTATATTTACGTAATGTCAGTTATAGGTAGAGTGGCATTTACTTTATTTATATTAGGATAAATAAGTATAAATGAGAACTCGTCTACATCCAGCTCAGCTAGCATTTTAATATTTCATCAACACAAACCACAAACTACTTATAAATACGGAATGTCATTAAATGTCTATAATAGAACTAATAATAGAACAACTTGGACAAACCAGCTTTTACGGATACGTAAGTTAAAAAAAACAACTTAGTAAGCACGGAATGTTTACTTATCATAAACGTAAACAATCGACGAATTTGTAACATCAACAGGGGTGTCACTTCCACTATGGAAGGTATGGAGCACTCCATACCTCAAGTTTTTCAAGGTATGGAATTCCATAGCTGAAATTAGGAAATAAATCGCATATTACTACAAACCCCATATAAATAAATCGCAAGCCCTTAAACCTCAATACCCCACATCTTATAGTTCAATAAATAAGTTGAGTATATACACTGCAAACTCTTAAACCTTAATACCCCACGAGTAATGCGAACAAATTTGAAAATCGCGCCACCATTTTCCATACCTCAGATTTTTACAAAGTGACACGCCTGAACATCAACATATTAATACATTTTATTCAAAATGTGTCACTAACGTGTTTACTTAGTAGAGCCACGCTGCAGCTATGTTATGGTTGTAGCACAAATGGGTCGGCTCGACCACGGTAGGACCGCGCTCTCACAGAATACCAACGTAAAATAGTAGCTTAATGCTGCTGTTTCGTATGGTGAGTATAGAGAACGGAGACCCTTTTTACTGGAAACGAGGCATACCATCTTAGTCCTCACGGGTGACAACGTATCTGCATTTTGATTCTTAATTATGTATTAATGTAGATATCTATGGAGCACCGTATCAACTTACCGTCAGGTGGACTGTTTGCTCGTTTCTTTACTTTATCTATATATTGCCTTAATTGTCAGATTACCTGACCGAAGCGTTATACCTGAGTAGCGTATTCAAGCCGAGACTTATCAAATGACCGGCTATTGGATAGACTTTGTCATTGTTTTTAATTTCTATATCTATGACAATAAGCCTAATCCTTCCGATGGGATCACGTTATCGATCGGATTGGGACGATTGTGTGCACGTCAATAGTCAGTCAATACGTCCTGCACTGGTGACAACTTTTTATTCGAAAATATGTAAATGTAGGCAGACTGGCCTTGAAATTTATTTCCTACTAAGATTTGAATGCTAGGTTCTCATTTCAAGCCCAAAACCTTTTTATTTATAACTGCATTGCTTTTAATTTTAGTCGAATATAGAAAAGACCGAAAAAGAAAAACAAAAAGGACTCGTCTACATCCTGCTCAGGTGACATTTAAATATTAGGTATATCATCTACACAAACCACAAACAGCTTGTAGATATTGAATGTTATTAAATGTTACTTGATCTTTTTTACATTTTTTTTTTTTATGGAATTGATTTCAATGAAATTTTGCACACTGTGTGCAGCAGTTTGGTCCAACTTGAGAGATAGAATAGTTTTTATCCCGATAAGTGAACCTCAATTTTTTTATTGCTAATCACTAGTTTTTTTAGGAAAGCGAATGGTCGTTGGAAAGGGCAGAACTTCTGCCTGGCCAGCTAGTTTATTATATAATATCCGTAGTAGTAGTATCTCAAGAAATAAGTGCTCGCAATAACCTTCATAGTACCCGAACAACCTGGGTTCGATCCTCGCTGGACTCAATGAAATTTTTAACAGCAGTTATTTTAAGTGCTATAACTACAAAAAGTTAAAACAGTGGTTGCCAACCCGCTTCCCAAGTGTAGTAACTATGGCAAATATGGGATATGGGAACACTGGATTCAGCAGTGGACTTAAATAGGCTGTAACAGTCAACACAACATAAAATTAATAATAATAATTTTAAAAAAGCATTTTGATTGTGTAATAGACTTAAACATAAACAAGAAACCTTTGTTAAAGTTATTATAGCAATATGGGTGACACTATGGCTTCATTAAATTATATCATTTATTATGAGAGGGGAGCTTAGTATGTTTATCTTGGAAAATACATATATAAACTTATATTTCTGGTGCACATTTTCAAAAGAAATCTATACAAATAAATTAAATTGATTTGTCTGTTTGTAATGTCAAAATAACAGCTTTTTACTAAATGCATATGAAAGTATATACGATACTAATAAGAAAAAAACGATTCTTAAAAATTTTGTCTGTCTATCTGTTTGTTCCGGCTAATCTCCGGAACGGAAGCTGATGTTATAAGGAGTAACTTAGGCTATTTTTATTTCAGAAAAAGTATTAGGGTTCCGCACAAAAAATAAAACCTCATGAAATTCAATCGTAATAAATTATATGCGTGAGAAGTCGCAGGGAACAGCTAGTGTAATAATGAGAAAATGTACCAAACAATTTCTACAACAAATATAAAAACGAAACAATAGACATGTTTGCGCAACCTTTTTTTCATATCAATTGAAGTGACAAACGAAAATAAAATTACAACCAACTTGATGGTAAGTGGCTACTGGCTACTGCAGTCCATGGACACCTGCAACCAACTGCAAACAAAGACTACAGATGCATTGTCATCACTAATGAGTCAGATGCAATATCTGTGAATATTATCCTGAAGTTTGTAGAATTATTCGTTGTATTATGCAGTCATATTTTGTGAGAAATAAAGACATTATTATTATTATTATTACGTCACAGCCTGTAATTATAAAGGCTCGCTATAGAGTCAAGTAGTAAGAGGATGGTTAGGTATAACCAGATGGACCCCTAGACAGAGAAGGAAAAGGAATTCTGCCATTTAGTTACATCTTTATTTTAAACACATACCACCTTGTATTTAGTATATAAATTTGATCCTTAATTAATATTCTAGATTAATATAGTTTCCATAGCACTTTATCTTGTACAAAGCTGTTGCTACAATCTTAACATAACAGGCAAAGTGCTAAAACTGTATGTGCTAAAGCTGTAAGTGGTAGAGCCATGCTGCAGCTATATTAATAGTATAGTTGTAGCACGAATGAGTCGGCTCGATCAGGGAAGGACCACGCTCTCACAGAATACCAGCGTAAAATAGCAGATTAATGCTGCTGTGTTTCGTATAGTGAGTGTAGAGAACACTTCACTGGGCACACGATAATATTTTATTGCAGAGCCTATAAATAAAATATCAAGAATTTTTTTTGATGAGATTATTGTAACATCCCTTCTTAGCGAGGGTCTACATGTGAAATGAGTAACTAATCTAAATTTCAAGTCCATTGGGTGTATAGTTTTAGAGATCTATTTTGAGTCAGTCAATGAGTCAGTGGTATTTCACTTATATTTAATAATTTAGATTACAAATAGAATATAGTATGTATAAAATCTTTTGTCTTTAATGAAAATAATTTTCCTTAGTGATGTAATCAATGGTAATAATAATGGTATCCTGGTCAAGGGACATGTCGTTTCTTTGCATGTCAAGTAGTAGACATTGTTTTTCACTTGTTTTATCCAACAAGGTCAGAAGCTTTGGACATTTAAAAGGATTTTGTAAACGTACAAAAATGAACGTACAAAAGGCATAAAACAATGATCTTAACAAAGTAATTACAGTCAAAACTGGATACAATGCTTAACAGCGGCTATTGCAGCGAAATAGCTGGGAAACAACTAAGTCTCAGAATTGCTCATAACAACTATTGGATATAGCATATTTTGTTAGATATTCCATAATATGTCATGCAAATGTTTAGAAACTTACCCTTAACTCTGTTATAGAATGCATTCACTTGCCCCACTGCAGCTTCAACTGTTGGCATTGCCATGGCTTTCTGCACAGACTGCAACTGAGCCATTGTTGATGGTGATGTTCCTACTTCAGCTGCCATCTGATAACATTAAGAAGGTTAACAAATCAAAATATTTAGAAATTACAAATTTTCTTAATAAATAATTTTTGAGGGTAAACTAAAAACTGTCCTTACACAAATTTTTATATAAAAGATTTTAACAATGAATCATCAAATTTAATTGTGAAACACCACAATAATAATATTGATTAATTATCAGATTAATAAAAAAATTGATTAGAGGAAATTTGAAATTGTGTTGCAATTATTGGTACAGCACAGAACTGATTTATATACAAAAAACTTACAATCAATTCAATAAGACGCGATTTCACTAATTAAAAGCAGTAATGCAGATATGGAATTATTTTACCTATTAAATTCCGTGCAGCACTGGCGGATGACTGAAGTTAAATGGAAAGAAACGGATTGCTTATCGTCACTGACAAACTACGTAGAAGATAGCAAGCGATGAAGTGATGCCACGGCCTTTTATAATTATATACCCACTAGTTTGTACAGATTGGACTTTGAACGAAACTAGTAATTGTTCGAACTTTGAACGTCATAAAGTTAAAGACTGACGGTACTTATGAGCAAGAGCGAAATATTATATTTCTTGGGTATGACTCAACTGCGTAAAAATAACACATTAACACAGTTAAATGCACTTATATGCAACTATATCTTAATTACGTGCTACTATAAAGAATAACTTTAATATATAACAACAGCAAAATGCAAGAACAATAAGTACGTACTAAACAAAGACAGGATGTACTGAATAAATTACAAAAAATTGCTAAAATAGGCCAAGAACTCAGCTAGGAATCGAAAACTTCCTATGTAATAATTTGTGAAATGAGTGACCGTGAACGCACTTTGCAACTTAGATCATATTTGTCACCTCACCTGTCATAAATCAACAAGCCAAAATGAAAATAATTCTTTTTCTTATTCATTTACTCTATGTCATTAATCACAAATATTTGTTATTGAGATTATTCTACACCTACTATGACTATATGACTATCTATGTCGACATAACAAACCAACATTTTTGGTTGGTCGCCAAGTCGCCAACGCCAATGGCGAACATCGATCGCGTAATTTGTGGAACGAGGCCGATATATTCATAAACAAACATTGGATACATAAGTGTATCTGATTGGCTGCCAGCCCAGTCTTTCTCTATTTGGAGTTTTCTTCAGACGTATTGGTATAAAACGTAAGCATTTCCAAAGAAAATTCGTAATGTCGTGGACAAATGAAGTAGTTTTAGAATTTCTGGATCTGTACAGAAAGGAGGAAATTCTGTGGGATCCTAAAAATCCATTACATAGAAATAGAAGAGAAATCAGTGAAGCATGGACTAGAATTCAAACGTCATTAAGTATTCATTGTTCAGTGCAAGATCTAAAAAAAAAGAAAGAATCTCTAATGACGTCTTTTAGAATGCACTGGAATAAAAAGAAGAAATCACCAGGGAATTATCATACTACTTGGTTCGCTTATCCGTGTATGGAAAGTTTTCTGAGCGAGAAATATGAATGTGACAGTACTGAACAATTGGAAAACGAGGTATGTAATATTACAGTTTTTTATTTTATTTCATTCATAAGTCTAACTGCAAACTGTAGTTTGGGTATAACTACATTTTTGTCATAAATACTATTTGAAAATATATAAACATATTTGACAGAATGTTGGCTGCAAATACTATTGATACGTATTTGCAGCTAACTTTCTGGTAAATATGTTGTAGCATCATTGGTGTCAAACGTAGCGTATCACAAACGCTCGTATTTCAAATCATTTACGTGCGAAAAGAGAACTCTGTTTGCGAGTGAAACTGAACTATAATTTAGATTTAAAAATTAATATTTAAAATCTCTCGTACAAAACCCAACCAATAGAAGCTTTGAAAAACATGTAAGAGTATTTTATTGCACCAAAATTTTAAAGTGCCCTAGCCCTCAAAACCTACGCCGGTGCCTCTCTTTTCGCATAGCTCCACTTATAAGTAAATAAAAGAAATGTACACATTTAGGCTATATCATTGAGTTATATGTACTGCGTACTAGAGAAGCTATTCCAAACAAAAATTGTGCGCTACTCTGTCTTCGCGCATGCGCGGGACATAGAACAGTCGCGTATGCGCGAAGACATAATATAAAATAACATAACATATTAAAATAAATTAAATATAAGAATTTAATATAAAATACTTTATTTTAATCTAAACAAACATATGGGCTTAGCTTTCCATTGACTCCCGTCGAGTTGGGGGTTGATACGTATTTTTACAGAAAAGTTACAATATTATAAGGACACACACAAAGATACAACATGCGGAAAACCGTAATTTTTGAGAAAAAAGTAATTGAAAATCAATTATTCTTGCATTGTTTATAATATCTAATCCTACCATAAAACTGACGCCATTTTGTAATGTCATTGTCGTCAGTAGGGATGTCGATTCTTTCCGAAAAAGGTCGATTTCTAAATCGATTCAAATCGTAAGCTGATGTATCGATTCACAAAAAACCGATTTCTAAAATATCTATATTTTTTTAAGTTTGCATTTATAATGTAAATATAATTCCATTTTATGAAAAACAAGAAAGATACCATAATAAATGATCTCTTATTGAAATTTGTTTTATTTTAACAGTACCAATTAGGGCAGATAACAAATAAAATAGGTTAGGTTCAACTTATGTCAAAGAACTGAATTGATTGACCCCGATTCCACCTGGTACGAATCTGTCCTACCCCTAGAGTGGTTTTAAAGAGCCGGAGGCGCGTAGGGGGAGCAGCCTCCGCCTGCTATAACCTGCTATGCCTGCGATTTGTTACGCTAAGGCGTAGAGGCTGCTCTTCCCGCAGCGCCGGAGACGTAGCAGTCTCAAAATAGATACAGAAATCCTTCTGAATCAGTCCCCCTATATTTTATGATGTAGGGGATTTTTTTTCTCATAAAATGGATTTATATTTACATTATAAATGCAAACATGAAAAAAATATAGATATTTTAGAAATCGATTTTTTGGGAATCGATACATCAGCTTACAGTTCGAATCTATTTAAAAACACGATCTTTTTCGGAAAGAATCGACATCCCTACTGACAACAACAATAAAAAATGGCGTCAGTTTTATTGTAGGATTAAATATAAACAATGCAAGAATAATTAATGATTAAACGAACTTACTTGTAAGTGAAGTTCTATCATAATTATGTAAGGTGTTTCGTTCGAAGAGATTAGATAACACAGGTAGTTAGATAATACAATGTCGCCATCTATGCACTTAGTTTAAAGTAAAAATAAAACAAGACGGTAGATTAATATTACTTCATGGTTGCACTGCGCTCGATTTATCATTTAGTTCAGAGTAGAGAAACGACATGATATTTCACAATATGAGGGTTAAAAATAAAGAGGGCGTGAGGGATGCTAATCTATTCGAACGAAACACCTTACATAATTATGATAGAACTTCACTTACAGGTAAGTTCGTTTAATCATTAATTATGCTTCAGTGTTTCGTTCTCGAGATTAGATAACACAGGTAGATGTTGAGAGTTAATTGTGAAATATCCCAACAGAAATTATTTACAATGGGAAAAAATTCAATAGGTATTTCATGAATAAAATAATTTTAATTATAATCACTATAAAGTGTACACAAAAATACACTGCTATGACATACGATTATCGTGATTAATGATACATATTTAATTAACATTAATTAGTAAACTCTTAGCGAAACTATGTCTCAGTGTTCAGTAGGTATCAGTTGATATTATCCATTATAGAACTATTAAAGAACTTCGCAAGAGTTGTGGAGGCACCCGTACAGCCGGTAGTTTTCCTTATTATATTTAAGTTGACAGCTAGTCTATGGGCTCCAGTCGTGCTGGTGTGCCTAGTGCTATGCGCACAGAATGTAGTAACATGAACCCCGCTAACCTCCAACTCTTTATCCATATACTTAGCGTTTAAACAGAAACCGTATTATGGGGCTCCTTTGTACTAGTGTAGTGTGTCTAAAGTATGGATGAACAAGGGTTGGCTGATTAGAATTAACACGAGATGTTTTTGTCAAATCGGGAACATTAGTAGAAATTTCATCAAGTGAAATTCTTATATTTTGAATATTTATTTTTAATAGGGTTTGGGTCCTGTGCGCCGTTATTAGTGCAAGAAGGCAACTAGTTTTTTTTTTTTTTAACATAGGTATTTTCTCAAAAGATAGATTCTAATTCGGCACCCAGCTAGCGAGAGTTTCTATTAATAATGAGGTGTCCCAAAGTTGAATCATATTTGGGTAAAGCCTACATAAATAAACCTTTAAAATTTTTTTTTTGTTTATGGTCATCCTCGCTAGTTTGGGCTCTAGATTGGTAGACTCATTAAGAAATAACCAATAATTGGTATTGATGCCTGATACATGTTGTTATTCTTGCAAAAATTATACCATTTTTTCAGACATGTATCATAATATTTCATAGAGATGGCCGAAAGAGAAACCAATATGATCGGAATAGATGTGCAGGGAATGTTTCTTTTCAATAAAAAAAGCCCGCATTAGATTCCGGCACCCAGGGTAATACGTCCATTATCGGGTAGTTGCTGGAATAAGAAACAATTAGTTCCTTAACAGAATTAAAAATCAATGACCAAAATCGACTCCAGGAGCCGATTAAACAGGGTATACATACCTAGGCTGTGAGAGCCATGTCGGTACTATCAATATACCTCTACCTTTAACGCTAATAGTAATTTTTCTTAATGTTTTAAGAACAATTAAGAAAAAAGGAATGAAAGCGTCGTTAGTATAGCCATCAGGGTCTTTGTGCAATGATACATAATATTTTGTATATTTTTTTATTTATGCTGCTAGCAAATATGTAAATATCTGGTACACAAAGCAAAATCTGAAAATCCTATTCAATGTCAGGGTATTAGATTTGGGGTCAGTAATAGTGTTCTCGACAGATGGGATATATAAAGTAGAAACAAAAAAGATTATATGCTTGCTTCGTATAATTGCCATAGTTTTTAGCAACCTTAGGTAAATGTCCTGTATTGCATTTTTCATTCATTTTTCGTACATGCGATTTATGTACGAAATTGCAGTTGTATTATCTATAAGTAAGATTATTTGACTATTGGATAATGTTTTGGCATATAATTTAAGTCCAATGAAAGCAGCTATTAACTCTAAATCTAATCTAGATAATTAATATGATGCTTTCGTTCAGCGTTACTTGAAATATCGCTTGCAGTCTTTCCCATACAGGCCACGCCTCATCCCGTTGTTGAGGCGTCAGAATTAATTTCCAGACTGAATTCATAAAATTTTTATTTATTTACAACTTGATCGATGGATTTTATCGACCAATTAAAATCTAGATCTAATGTAGGTTTTAACGAAAAATTATGACAATTTTATGACTATACCAGTCATCCATAATTTTTGTTTCCTATAAGGTTAAGGAATTTGCACCGTTCGAACTCCATAGTGTGAAGTCAGGCATATACAATAGCTGAACAAGATGAACGTTAACAGGCTTACTGAGCGTACAAAGTTCCTGATTCTAAATATTTTATGATTTTTTTTTGTAAGTATTTTTATAATTTGGCTTTAATTTTTACACATTCTATAAAAGGTAAACTGATTTCCAATACATTGGAATTTATCATAAATCTGGGATTTATCATAAATTCCAATACAAAATTATATTACTAGGATCATACAGCTTTTAATTTTATGAATAATGAAACCTAAGCCACAAAAAAGTTTCTTCATATTTGTTATAGGTGCGTGATATAAGACATAAGTCATAGATTGTTATATATAATATACAATAAGTAGTCTGGGTAGCTTACTGACAGGTTACAAATACCACCAATACGTCGTAAGAATTTAACAAACAGTTTCATTATTTTTGTAAATACGTAGGTTCGAGACAATTAAAAACTGCCGATTGAATTACCAAAATTGACACTTTAATTACACAACACTAATTACAATCTAAAACCACACTAATAATAAAACTCGATCACTTTAGTTCGCAGTTATTTCGCTTCGAAGTATTCTCTTGTATCGCCAATTCAATACTGCCTCGGTCGTGGTCTATACCGGCCTTATATAGGGCCTCAGATAGTTTCCAGAATCTTCTACTGTAGCGACATCTAGAATGTTCGAGTACATATCGGTCCCGAAATTTTTGGAAGGATCTTGACTCTCCTAGTTCTGCTACTCGACACTAGAGGGCGCCTAGGGTAACAAGTGTTGCCATGTACAAGACATTAATAGTGGCACGCAACAGTATTTATTCCGAACTGGAGAACATTAAATTCATATAAAATATTCCTCAATATAAACCTTAAAGATTTTCATGAATTGTCATGAATTTTATTATTTAAATTAATACAATTTGATTAGAATATTTATATATAATATAATTGTTGACATAAACAACTTTTTGAAACAAGTTTTGCCATTGTTCTAAGATCTTCCAATTTAAAATGCTTTGTGTTTACAAAAATTTGTTATATATATATATATATATATATATATATATATATATATATATATATATATATATATAATTACTTTAAAGTTAATAAAATACCGCTATAATTTAAAATAGAAAAACTTCACTATAATTTATACAAAAATTAACACAGTTGCAAGACGTGCGAAGTGGCGGAGCACTGAAATGTGAATGATAAATCGAGCGCAGTGCAACCATGAAGTAATATTAATCTACCGTCTTGTTTTATTTTTACTTTAACCTAAGTGCATAGATGGCGACATTGTATGTGGGACTACCTGTGTTATCTAATCTCGAGAACGAAGCACTGAAGCATAATAGATTTTCAATAACTTTTTTCTCAAAAATTACGCGCTTCCGCATGTTGTAACTTTGTGTGTGCTTATAATAGTGTAACTTTTCTGTAAAAATACGTATCATCCCCCAACTCGATGGGAGTCAATGGAAAGTCGTACCAAACATATTTCTAAATAAAATATCATAATAATTATCTTATGGAACTCACAAATCTTCAATTTACGCAATACTTAGCTTAGTGTACATAGCCAATGTTCGGAATGCGAAATCTAGTGCGTAGTACATATATATCAATGGACTATATACATTTCTTATATTTATAGTTGGATTAAGTTTGGCAAAGAAAAATAATTATTATACTAGTAATACTAAAAATAACGCAGTTCTTTGAAGTGAAACTTCTTTATCAACGTAGTGCAAAAAATTTAGTAGGTCCGGTATTTAATAAATTCACGTTTTTCTTGTAACGTTTCACCGCCAGAGCTGCATGAGTATACTTTTAGTTAACCTACTTATGTAAAATATGAAATAAAAATAAACATGCGTGAGTGTCGTGGAACACTCGGTTGGAAT